TTCAAAAAACACGATTTTCTGTCATTTTCATCATCGAAAATCTTCATGATCACCCTATATATCTCAACGAAATCATGTTCATATGGTATCAGCTATCTTGGGAGGTAAACAATTAACTCGAATATACAGGATGTGTATGAATAAATCGGTCTTAGGTGTCATCAATTTTTCAAATCACCCTGTATGAAATGTATGAATTGTGATTCATGACGCAATGAGAATAGTATACTGCATGCCTAAATTATTTTTTCGATATTTCATTATTACATCGAATATTTAGACATCACTGAAATGTTAATATGTTTCACTCTGTAAACAATTACATTATCAGAACCATCTGAATTATGTTATGTAATATGGAGGTTCGTTGATGATATGAGAGAAAAAAATTGTACTTGGCATCTTTGAATTTCGAGAAAATAATTAAATGAAGAATACCGATTTGTAACTTCAACGCCCTGTATCTCAGAATCTCTTCATCAAAGAACTTTACGATTCTGCAGGTTCAATCAGTTCATCGAATTCTACAACATACTGAAAATTCAGAAAATTTCACCGAGAACCATTTTACGTACTAAAAGTGCGGGGTCCTTTAAGAACGAATAAAATCGCGATAAATAACTCGAAATTCATGTGTGGTTTTATTTGACAATGGATCCAGTGGATCTACCTATACTGGAATCCGTTGGTGTAGCTTCACGAAATATCAGCTGATTCAAAGTGTAGTGCATTCAACACAATACCATAGCCATCTTTGAAGAGGAAAGCCGCGGTGAGCCCAGTCTGGCAACACTGTTCAGAAGTATTGGAGCGGTTTCCTGGCCAGAAATCGTTACTGACTCATATGTTCTTAGGTAATAACTTGTCATAGAGATAGGATGAATAATGTGAGGCAGTTCTGACTGATTCGTGCAATCGAACGGTTGTCGAATAAAGTGATTGAAGTAGTTGTGCGTGTTCTTCCAAATAATAGAGTCAAATACTTCTCAGTCGTAACACGATATATGGGTTGTGGATGTAACAGAGTGATTGTTTTTCGGTTTTCAAGAGTGAATTGATGTGGTATTAATGTGAAATATTGTTGATAGCTAGTGAAAAGTGTGAAGAATATTCTAGTGATCGAGTTATAAGTGAAAGGGTGTTTGAGTGTGTAAAAAAGTGTCAACAAAAATTGTTTTTGAATTGAGGTTATGATTTTTGTTGTCTTATTTCTGGAAGCAAAGTAAGTAATTCCAACCTTTCACCTAAGGAGATGCCAAATAATTGCTGTTTGACAGTAAGTCAAATTATGCATCGATAAAGAAATGTTGCGATTTTTATATTTCCTGAAATGAAGAACGAAGTCAACTCACCAAGTTGTAGTATTGAATGAGATGCAGGTCCAAGTTTTACTAGGTGTTAATAAATTGGGATTCAATGATTCAAAATGGATTTTTCCATATAATATGAAATTGAATAGGTGGTCACAACTGCATAATATAATATAAAATATATTATAGCAAGATAAAGAAACAGCTAAGATAAAATTAGATCATTTGATGACTTGATAGAGGAAAGTGATATATCTGAAGAAAGCCCTAAGAGTATCTTGTAAAAAAAGCTTAGTTCATTCTAGAAGTCTTGAAATTTTGATGGATCAATTGAAATAAAGACACATTGAAAAAAAATGGATATTCGTCTGCTACTATACTTATGTCTTCTATGTTATACACCACTTCTCACTCTGTGAATGAACTGGAAGAGCTGTAGGATTTTTTTTCAAATTTCACCTAACAAACGATACAACAACTATCGTTCAACTTGAATATTTCTCCAAGCAATAACTTGAATGGTTGATGTAAAATGGGACTTGCCAGTTGTTTATTTTATCCAAGAAACTGAATACTGAACTGTGACCTGACCCATTATCTCTTGCTTTTTATTTTTATCAAAGTTCAATTATTTATCTCAAAGACAGAAAATGATGTTACTTCAGCGCGGATAGTGGTAACGTACCAGTGTTTGCCTATGTCGCCGTGGTAGCCAGTCGAGAGTAGACCTTCCGGATCAGGGCGATGCGGTGTTGCATTCATCTCACAGCGGCTTGTTATAGAGCCGGCTGTGACAATACTACTATCATAGCACCTTGACTGCCCACACTACATAACAATATTCGGACTGAACCCGACTTTTTAGGTTTCTTGATAACCCCCTGACAATAAGCGAAACACCAGCATGTAAGCTCACCATAACCATGCACATCATCACATTACCTGAACGGGCCACCAGGTGTCCTGCGCCGTATGGTCCAAGAACCACACGCACGCCTCGCGGCACGCGTTGAACTGCTTCGTGGCCAGCTCCACCCACTGCACCATCGTCGGCTTCCCCTTTGCGTGAATGAACGTCTTGATGAAGAACGTCGTTCACAGTATATCAAAATACTATTATAGCATCTCAACTTTCCCACTAAATAACAATATTCAGACAGAACCCGACTATTTTAGCTTTCTTGATAAGCCGTTTCTGACAAATCGGCTAAGGAGACGAGAATAAGCAAAACACCAGTATGTAAACGCACCATAACCCTGCACATCATCACATAAACTGACAGGGGCATAAGGTTTCCTGTGCCATATGGTCCAAGAACTTTAAGCCTCCCGGCAGACGTTGAACTGCTTTGTGACCAGCTCCACCCACTGCCCCATCGTCAGCTCCTCATTGGCGTGAATGAACGTCTCGATGAAGAACGTGGTCGACAGTATATTAAACTACTACACTCACCGGCAAAATAAACCGGTCACCAAAAAATCTGCCCAAATTGTTCAGCCTGTAACATTTTTAATCCTTGTCCGATTTTTGTGAAATTTCGATCAAATCGTAGATTCATGTTCCGGAATGTTAGCCTAAATATTAGTTTTCCTGAAAAGCTGATTACTTGATCATTACTCAGGGAAAAACCAAAGGTACTCTTTCACCCTATACTTCTCAAAGCGCTGTAGCAAAATTGCGTGATTGAACATGACTTCATTATGCTTCGGATTGAAGTGTGATCTCTTCTTGACACAAAAGTTTTTGATTCACGTCAATATCTTATTTTTAAAAGAAGATACAAGTATTTTAAAGAAGTATGGTGTTTTTCAACTTTTTTTACCAATAACCAGAACTAATATGGACTTATTGATTAACAACTTCAAGGATTAATATCACATATTTTTACCTTACTTTATTTATTTATTTATTTATTTATTTATTTATTGAACAAATAACTTCCAGACAGAATAGGCTCTGGTATAAGGAAGTACATAATTATATACCTATAGGTAAACATATCATTATACAAAATATATCAACAACTGTAAATTGACAAACAAAGAATAATATTTGTAAAAAAAAAAAAAAAAAAAAAAATGGCATGTTCAATTTTATCCAGTACGCTCAGAAATAATCAATTTTTTCACTTCATTTTTGAATGAACCTATGTTTCTGCAATTTTTTATATTGTCAGGTAGTTTATTGAATTCAGTTAAGGCTGAATGAGTGAATCTTTTTTGTCCGATAATGGAGCTAGCGGCGTCAAGATGAAACAAGTTATATTGTCTTGTTTCATGATTATGAATTTCAGAATTCCGTATCAACATAAAATTCGACTTCAATTTTTTATTTATGATATTATATGATATTTTGAGAGTTTCAATTCTATATATTTCATCTAAAGAATACGTATTTGTTCGTATGTATTTCAAACAATTGATTGGTTGGTGTATCAAATGGGAGACGATACAATACTTTTAACGATTTTCTATATAATGTTGATATTTTATTGAAATTGTTCTTTGAACAAGTTCCCCAAACATTTATTAAATAGTTGATACGACTCAGTATATGAGAGTAGAGAATCATGTTTGCAATTTTAATATCAAGTTTGGGACATCTTCTCAATGCACCAATAATTGGAGATATTTTTTTTGTCAGAACATCAATATGTTTGTCCCACTTCAACCTGTCATCAAACCAAATTCCAAGATATTTTATCTGGTCAGTTTGTTTTAAGAGTTCATTTTTCATTTTAATTAATTACAAAAAACAAACAAGAAGCAGACCTGTAGTCACTAACGAGTATGCTCTCCTCGATATTGAATTACAGCATTCAACCGCAGTGGCATCGAATTGATCAAATTACTCAAGTAGCCTTGAAGAATTGCCTAAAATCCTCCTTGAAGGGCGAATCGTAGCTCTTGAAGAGTATCTGACAAGGCTGGGCGAAGGCGAATGAGCCTCCAGAAGTCACCCCTAAGATAGGTAGATAGGTTCTGAATTATTGTTATAGAAAATTTAAAAAAAAATTACACTTGTATCTTCTCTCAAAAAGGAGATATTGACGTTATTCAAGAACCGTTGTATGATGAAGAAACAAAAGAGGATCACACTTCAATTTAAAACATCATGAACCAGTAGGTTGGAGAATGGTTCTGAATCATTGTTGATATAAATTTTACAAATCCATACTCTCTTGAAACACTCATATCTTCCCTCAAAAAGTTGTTATCGACGTGAATGAAAAACCATCATGTGAAGAAGAGATGACTCTTCAATCTAAAACTTAATGAAGCTAAGTTAAACCACTCACCTTCCTCACAGGGCGTTAAGAAGTTAAGGGTGAAAAAGTAACTTCCGTTTTTCCCTGTATAATGATTGAGTCATCAGATTTTCTAAGGAACTAATATTCAGGCCAACATTTGGAAACATGAATCTACGATTTGGTCGGAATTTCACCAATATCGGATCAGAATTGAAAAATTCACAAAGCAAACAATTTGGCTAAATTATTTGGTGGCCGGTTTTTCTTGCCGATGAGTGTATTATGCACATTAACTTTCCCCACTACATAGCAATATTCGGACTGAACCCGACTTTTTAGCTTCCTTGATAAGCCGTTTCTGGCAAATCGGCTAAGGAGACGAGAATAAGCGAAACACCAGCATGTAAACGCACCATAACCCTGCAAATCATCACATTACCTGAACGGGCCACCAGGTGTCCTGCGCCATATGGTCCAAGAACCACACACACGCCTCCCGGCACGCGTTGAACTGCTTCGTGACCAGCTCCACCCACTGCACCATCGTCGGCTTCTCCTTGGCGTGGATGAACGTCTCGATGAAGAACGTCGTCGACAGCTGGGCGGCCTTCTGCGTCGCGTTCGGCTCGACGGGCAGCACGGTCTGCGGGATGTAGCCGCATATCTGCCACATGAAGTTGAAGTAGGTGTGCTCGAAGATGTTCTTGTCCTGGATGAAGTGCATGTTGTCCTGCCATATCCAGTCTTCCAGCTCCTTGTTCAGTTCGATCTTGGGATTAATTTCAAATATATTTATGTTGTGACACTCAATCCCTCGAAAACATTTTGAATCTCAAGTACATTACATTCTTTGATGCAAGCACTACAATATCCCTTTTCAGGATTTTCACATCGGAGGGAGGCTAGTAGGGTTGGGGAGATTATAGTTCCGTTTATTTGGGCCCCTAGTTCTGGGTGCACTAATTCAGATTCATAGATAATTTTTTTGGAGAAGAGCAATCGTGAAAAGAAACGAGAACAATGCTCTACAAGTGACCCAAATCCATGATATTTCGTATGAATTAATCATACTTCAAGTTAACTTTAGCCCACACTTCAATTATTATCCATTGGAGGTTGGATGGTACCATTATTTCAGTGTCATATTTTCCAAAGAAAAATTGCCTCTTACTGACAGCCCGATGGAACCCGAACCGAGTAATTCTTATTGTGGATCTCTGAATATATTTCGAATCCATTACTTTTCTAAAAACGAAAGAGTTTAATGATATAGCTGTCATCAATGGCGGAAATATTTCGAGCTTATATCAATTTGTGGATTTTGTGGCATTTTCCATTTCATCATTAACCTCGATTTATCGTTATCAAACCACAACACCCCCAGAACTTGTTCCTGAAATGATCATTTTGATTATTCAAGTTCCGATTGCCACAAACGATTATCAATTACTTTTCAGATCCTTAGTGATATTGAATTTCCTTGTATGCGTTGTTGCAGTGCCTCAGAATAATAGTTATTTATCATACAAGGGGAAAAAAGTATTAGATTTTAGCTTGAGCAGAGGGGGACAATAAACAGTGTGCTAAAATCTAAAATTTCTCTCGTGTATAGTACCCAATTTTTTTCTGTGACAGGAAAAAGGACGAATTGATATTGAGAAGATATTACATTATATTAAAATCAGAAAATTATCGACGTGAAATTTGAAGTTTTTAACTGGAATTACACCTGCGTTGCAGGCATATTTTTGCATGTGTCTATATCGTTCTTTTTGAAGTAGGTTATCAGATATCTGTCAGTCTAATTCAGTGATTCGATTCTATAAATTCGCGAACTTAATGGTTGTTTAGTAATTTACGTAACCGCGAAGTGGAATGAAAGATAAAAGGACTCGAAGTTCTTTCTCGGAGACGTTGTTACTGGCTTATTTTTCGGAACAAGCACAACAAAAACTACGAACAATGTATATATACAGTATGGTGGAAATGTATGGAATAAATTCATTATCTCTAACGCATATGAATTTGAAAAAAAATCCTGAGACAGGTCGATTTTTATTTTCAAATTGACACCTCTATACATACGGAGTTTGTAACGTCATCCGCGTAGTTGTGGTGACGTCATCGATTATTTTTTAAAATAGAAACATCCCCTTCTCATTTCTTTTTTTGGAAGGTATATTCATTGTCTATCCAACCATATACTGATATTAGCAAAATAAAGAAATACAGGGTGATAAAAAATGATTAATTATTCATCAAAAATATAAAGTAGAAAGAATATGTCATAATGCTTGGAAATTTGGTTTGGAACAAGATTCGCCATTTTTACAAAGTGTGTGATATCGAGAGAAAACTACTTTTAATAGGAAGTATTTTTTTTTAAACTTAAACATGAATATAGTATAATAAATATGGTGAGAAGTAAGGATATTTTAACATAGATATCAATAAAATAGTATGTAAAAATATAAGTAAAAGTAACTAAAACTCAATGAAAATGAACAAATTTAAATATGGAATGAAATAGATAAAGCTGCTCCGTCCTCATATGGTAGATATCTTATATGCCGTCTTGCACCTCTCAATCGCAGGGACTCGGCTCTGATTATGAACAAAGGAAATAATTCACCATTTAATTTCGATACATCTATGTTCTCTTTATTCTGGCCGTTCCGATTCGAATTTTAGATTTCACGTTTCGAGTTTCTTGAAATTTAAATCGGTGCACTGGAGTCAATTAATGAATGATTTACTGATTATTTCATATTTCGAGGCATATACTCAATAGTGACCAAAAAATTGTCCATCAAATTGAAAACATAGAAAGTTTTCAATATGCTACAGAGTTTTATTGTAGCGATCTAGTAGTTGATACATTCTTCAAAATGAATTCGAACTTTCAAAATGATCACCAGAACATTCAATGTTGAATCAGAGCAAAAATCTGCTCGTTTTAGTTTACTCACCACCGGTACAGGCGGCGGCGACGGCGTCCTGGCTGCCTCCCCGCATTCCCCCGCCGTCGACCCGCTCCTGTCCCTCCCCGCCTCCCCTATCCTGCCGCCGCGCTCGTAGAACAGCATGTACGCACTGTTCGTCTTCTCGAAGCTGAAGTCCATGAACTTGTCGGCGACGCTGTCGTACGTCTTGCTGGTCATCTCGCCGCCGAAGCACTCGGCCGCTATCTGGTCGGGGTCGAACGGCTTCACCTCGGCATCGTTGAAGAGGTACCACTTGTCTCGGGCGCCGGCCGAGCGGTCCTTGATGAAGCTGTAGTAATGGCCGCCGTCCGCTGTGCCCGTATGGACGGTGACACCTAAAAATATTTTGTTGTTGTTCTATTCTGCGTCTTACATGAGATCATTATGGGTGAGACCCAAATGTTTATGGACACAGCTTCTATTACAATACGCAAATTCTTTTTTCTAGGTTGGTAATATCGAATTGTCAGATGATGAAAGTCAGACATGGAATGTCCTTCATTCAAAATAAGTATGAATGATACCATTATTTGGGCATGACCAGGTGACCACGAGGTTGAACTGCAAGAAAAGATGGAACAGTGAATCCATGAGTGTTAAGAGGTGCCACTTCTCTCGGGCGCCGGTCAAACCGTCCTTGATGAAGCTGTAGTAATGGCCACCGTCCGCTGTGCCCGTATGGACGGTGACACCTGAAAATAATTTTTTGTTGTTCTATTCTGCGTCTTACATGAGTTCATTATGAAACCCAAATGTTTATGTTCACAGCTTCTATTACAATACGCAAATTCTCTTTTTTCTAGGTTCTTAATATCAAATTGTCAGATGAAAGTCAGACATGGAATGTCCTTCATTCAAAATAAGTATGAATGATAACATTATTTGGGCATCACCAGGTGACCTCGAGGTTGAGATGCAAGAAAGGATGGAAAAGTGAATCCATGGGTGTTAAGAGGTACCACTTGTCTCGGGCGCCGGTCGAACCGTCCTTGATGAGGCTGTAGTAATGGCCGCCGCCCCCGTATGGACAAAGTCAGACATGGAATGTCCTTCATTCGAAATAAGTATTAATGATACCATTCTTTGTCATCACCAGGTCCCCACGAGGTTGAGCTGCAAGAAAGGATGGAACAGTGAATCCATAAGTGTCTCGGTCGCCAGTCGAACCGTCCTTGATAAAGATGTAGTAATGGCCGCCGTCCGCGGAACCATTATGGACGGTAACGCCTAGTGAGAAATTTGATCTCTGACTAAATAACAATAGATAGACACTGCCATCAATGCATTAATCAAATCAGAAGTATACACCAACAATCCTACACGCCAAACACGTATAAATGAATGATATCGTGAATGGTGGGGATAACTCTGCGAAATCATTGTCAGAGAATTGATATTCTTCTATATATGTGTGTACTACTGTGCATTATTGAATGAACTATCAACTGTAATAGTGCCCATGTGGATGACGGCGCCTATTGAGAGAATTCTATTTTGCGTCTTTGATGATTTCATTATGAAACCATAATGAGTATGGAGACAGCTTCTATTACAATACGCAAATTTTCTTTTTTCTAGGTTGGTAACATCAAACTGTCAGGTAAAACTCAGACATGGAATGTCCTTCATCCGAAATAAGTATGAATAATTGAATAATACCGTTATTTGGCCATCGCCAGGCCACCACATGGCCGAGCTGTAAGAAAAAATGGAACACTGAATCCATGTGTGTTGAACTCGAAGGAGCCATAAAGTGGTGGACAGATGACTCCAAACCCGAATATGGAACTGGAATAGGAGTCTATTACAGTCCAATCTAGAAAAGAGCTTTGAATAGTAGTGGCCGCTGTCAGCTGTGCCCGTCTGGACGGTGACGCCTATTTAAAAAAATATAAAAATATGTACCCTCTCCCCAGAAGTCGAAACTTGTGATGAATGCTCAGCCAAGACGGATTCGAAACCCGACAGCACCTTGGCATCGTGAACGACAGTCTCAGAGTTTGTGTGCCATAGACCGCTGCCATTGAAATATCTGACTAGATATTTTGTTCGATTTTGCGTCTTTGCTGAGCTTATTATGAATCCCAAATGCGTATAGAGACAGCTTCTATTACAATGCGCAAATGCTCTTTTTTCTAGGTTGGTTTCATCAATCTGTTGGGCAAAAGACAAGGCCACCACAAGGATGAGTTGCAAAAAGAATGGAACAGTGAATCCATGGGTGTTGAGCTCGAAGGACATATGTTTCTTTTAACTTGAGCAGTGGTGTACCTAAGGTACTACGAATTTTTTTTGTATTGAAATTAAAAGATTATACCCAAACATTTTCTAATAGGTATAATGGCGTTGTCACTGTAGTAAAATTGTCTTGCCCCTCGCTTAACCTACGCGACTGGTAAAGAAAAGTGTGAACACTGACACACAGTTCACAGAGATTCTTAAAGCCATACCTTTCTAACGTATTTGAAGCTTTGGAAGTATGCATGATTGAAACAAATAGTGTTTCAAGAATGAAAAATAATGTACAAAAACTTCTTGGAAAGTGCATTTTCCGCACTTGCCGCTATGCGGGTCGTGTTTAACGTCTACTCGCGCAAAATATGTCACTAGCTATGTACTTTTTTTTCAACCATCTTTTTTGCATGCTCTCACCTATGAGATCGTACTCCAGCTGTTCCACCTCCAACTCGGCGTTCTTCTGCTTCTCCTCCTGGTACTGCTGCGGCATCAGCTGCTTCTCCACGTACCCAGCCATATTCAGGCGCAGCGGAAACGAAAAGTGCGTGTTGACCTTCTCCTTGAGCATGGTCAGCATGTTGAACGTGTACCGCATGGTGTTGAAGCAGAGGATGTGCGGCAGCTTCTTGAAGCAGGCGCGCTTCTCGGCGCGCACTTTCTTGCCGCATTGCGAGCACGTGTACATGTTGTCGCCTTCAAGGGTGTCTTTGACGGTCACCTCGTCGAGAGATTCGTAGATGTTGCGCATGTCGGCCACTTGGCACCTGGAAGGAAATTTTCGGTAGGAGTCGAGTATCCTGACGTCTCAACTGCTCTCTACTAGAGTTTCTGAATGTACTTCACACTGCTGTTTTGACGTTTTTTGTATATTAGAGTACGGACATTAGGCAAGCAGGGACAATCAAACATAACCACAGATCATATGTTTTGCCAGGCAAGTACAAGAATATGTTTTTCAGTGTAGTACATCCATATATCTTTCTCTGTCTTTGATTTTTGTATGAGCATAGAGACCTCGAGTGGGTAAAAGGGTACGATACATTGATTAGAAAATTTTTTCTTCTCGAAATATTGAATTATAAGGCTGAAGGACCTCAATGGAGGTCGATATCAAGTTAGTATTTACATATATACCAAGTCGTAGTTCTGAATTTTACTAACTCTGACTTTTGTGTCTGAATCTTTTTGCTTTAACTTATTTTCCAACTCTCTATTTTTTCCTTTTATCTGTTTCCTGAATTCCTCACTCTCTTTAAGTCCTAAACCTTGGATTTTTGAATATTCCTGCTCTAAAAATTCGATCTTCAAGTCTTTCTCTTTCAAAATATGTTCGAAATGAATTTCACTATCTGCAAGTTTTTCGTTTCTTGTTGGTTCTGAATTGGAATAAGGTTCCTTTCGATACTCGCTTAGTTTATAAATTGTAGGTTGTTCTATTTCTCTCAATACGATTCTATTCTTCAACATCAAATCTTCCGTTCTGAACTGTACATGATAAAAATGCGTAGAAAAATGTTCTATATTCTACCAAGAAATTTGAATACCTCGCAAATTTTGTGGCCAGAACCTATATTCCATGCCGGCCGCATCATATTCTGTTTCCATTTTAGTAGAATTACATTATCCGATGGAAATTCGAACAGAGTGAATTGATTTCCATTGTTCTCACAGTTGGAAATTGAACAAACTTGCATTCTAATCTCTCAATTTGTCAAACCTTTGAAATTTATGTCATGTACCTACGTCCGTGTACTGTCAGTTCCCGCTTTGCGATTTGATGATGAAAAAATGCTACAGAAAATAAAAAATGTCTTCATTTGATTAACAATGGAATACCCTGATAGCTCAAAATATTCGGGGATATCAACTCGACAGTTGGTTAAATGGAAATTCATCATACGATGTTTCGCGAGAGACAAACTCATACCTTGTTCACGCCTAAAGAAACGTGTGGAGAACCAACCATGGAGTTTGACAAACGAGAGAAAACCAGCAGCTTACATCTTACATCTGTATTTGATACACATGCAGCCATACCTACAGTTCTTTTTCTCTCTAATGTTACTTTCAGTGTCTCGCACAAGACGATAAGGCAAAGGCACCATACCTGACAGTGTAGAACTCCTCCAACGTCCTGCTGACGTGCTCGCAATCCAAAGACACCACATTGTTGCTGATCACGCCGCAGAACAGCGTCTTCACGACATCCTTCAGCGCCGGCGTCATTTCCTCCAGCTTGCTCACCAAATCGATGAAGAACTCCGCCATGTCCTTCTGCTCGGCAGTGTTCAGCGGCTGGTGGTCCATCGTGTACACCTTGCAGAAGCTCCGCGGGTTGTACGCCTTACGTTCACTCTCCAGCAAGTACGCGAACATCCGCTGGAGTTCCCTGAGCGTACAGACACTACATTTAACTAGAGTCACTGGATGGTATTGTTAGATAAGAATTCGGACACAGAAATGACAACTGTTAGTGTTTTTGAATATTTTGATTTATTAACACATCTTGCATTGTGACAAGAGCACCATAGTCGTCCCGCGCTTTTTCATTCGACATTGTTTGAGTTTGACAATACATTTTATGAACGTCAGAATTGAAATATAATTTCATGAACTATTTTGAAAAAAGCATGAATGAAAATGTCCGCTGTGTAATGAATTGTGGAAATGGATATCAATTATTTGATTTTACTAAGGAAATATTAACCATTCTCTAAGATTGTATGAAACGGTCTGGATCGAAAATGAATTTAAAGGCAAGCAAAATCTGTGAGGTATGTACATACATTGAAATTAGCTTCTCATAACAGCAGATTATGATGAAACTATATTTGAGGCCCATTTTCAAACAGAATATTCAAAAATCCGTTTCCGATTTCATTATAATCAGTACATGAAATGCAAAACATGGAGAAAGAGGAATTGATTGCAAAATCATACATGATGAAACTGAAAATTTTGAGAACGAAACTGAGGAAATCAAGTAAATTGCAACGTGATCTATCATTGAATACTGACCAAATTCAAATTGCATCAGTGAGAAGTGAATGCAGGAAAAAGTGGAAAATGAGGACAGTTTAACATACAATAAGGAACTAGCCACAAGCATATCCATATGTGTGTGTATCGCTATAAATTGAATTGGGTGTTTATACCTACCTGGGTGTTTATACCTACCCTATTTCTATTTTTCGTGAACGGCTATGATTGATTTGACAGAAAATCTAACCTCTAAAATCGTATCTGACAATTAGGCGCTAATAGGGAAATTGAAAAGACAAAGTATTGTAGTATAGAAAATAAAAAAGGACAGAAGTTGAGCAGTGTCCAAACGCTTATCTAACTAATACCATCCAGTGACTCTACATTTAACAACAGTGGCGATAACAGGCTGGCAGCCGCCATGTTTAGGCTGAAGTCAAATGTTGTGTCTTTGTCTGATGTGACATTCTGATAGGTTAAATTGTTCTAATCCGTCATCAGGTTGCCCCCTTATGAGCAACCCTCAGAAGTCTTCGAGAGACTTGTGCGAGCAAGGAATGACAGGGGCCTTACCTTTTAACGTGTGATACCAAACCCTTTCTTAAGCCATTAGAAAAATTCTGCAATCGTGGGAATCAAACCCACCAATTGTCAATCCAACGTGAATAGAATACTTCCGCTTCAACCACGCGGCTAACCTGGTCAATACAGTTAAATAACACATACGGAAATGTTTGGTTTGCGGAAAGGTTTTCTATGAGTTCAATATATGTATAGGGTGGGCAAAATTGGGCGTTTTCACGGGCTATCTCAATAACTAATAGAGTTATCGAAAAACCGATATACATGTTACGGGCTCGATTTTAAAGAAACCTTAAATGACGCATTCGGAATTTTGATATCTTCATTCGTTTTATAGATACAGGGGGAAATTGAAAAATTTCCTATTTCGTTTTTATTTCATGAGTGCTTTATGGTGAGGAATATTGAAAATTTTCGGAAGTTTATTCATGAAGTATGATGCGAACAATCCTTTGGCACCATTAGAAATGTTATACACGGTGACATTGAGAAGATACGGCATCCAATTATATTTTTTCTTATGGAACATCCCGTATATTTTTGCACAGCTAGATATTCCCAGGTGTTCCAGTTTCAAATATACATATTTCCTTTCAAAACTCCAGAAATATTAGCAAAAATATATTCAGCTGTCACAATTTTCATGGTTACACCTCCGTATCATCCGCAATAATCATTGAGGTTGGATTCATAAATTCACAACTGTGAGAGAGATGCCAATGATACACTCGAGGACCTTGGGGGAACAACTTCAGTGATAACACTGCTCGCCAGCAGCTATGGAATCACCGAGATTTCTGGGAAATGCTATCAAGAGAAAGAATATAGGTTTAGAATGATACTCTGTATATATTAACCAAAAGAGGAGATAAATATCAATGAAAATCAATTCAAATATGTTATTTCCAGACAAATGAATATCTGATGAGAAAAAAAATTAGAAACTATTCAATTTGATATCGTAATGTCAGTTTTTATGCTGTTATCAATTCATTCAAACTATTTGAGATACAGAATAAGACAATCAAAAATTTACCTATTTAAGAATTTAGTAGGTGACGTTGAGAAAAATAGCTCTATAGAAGATTTTCAAATTGACTTCCGTTCTGGCCTAAGCAAACTTGACATCGTTTCCTTGCAGATTTCACTGCGTTAGTAAAGTGAATGGGTGTCACTTTTTGGAATGCTGAAATAACGTATTCACGTAGTTCTTCAGCATTTTAGTGATCTCGACGATATATATGGTTTTTTAGAAATCCTCCTATGGTTAATATATACAGAGTGTCATTTTCAACCAATATTCTTCCTCTTGATAGCATTTTCCAGAAATGTCGATGATTCCATAGCTGCTGGCGAGCAGTGTTATCACTGGAGTTACTCCCTCTCACAGTTGCAAATTTATGAATCCAACCTTAATGAATATTGCGGAAGATACGGAGGTGCAACCATGAAATATGTGGCACACTGAATATATTTTTGCGACTATTTCTGAAATTGTGAAAGAAAAAGGTGGAGTTATACATATATTTGACATTGGGACGCCAGGGACTATCTAACTATGCCAAAATATACGAGAAGTTCCATATGAAAAAATATATTTGGCTGTCGTATCATTTTATGTAACCCTGAATAAAATTTCTAATGATGCCAATAGATTGTTCGCATCATACTATATGAATAAACTTTCAAAAATTTCCAATATTCCCACCATAAAGTACTCAGAAAATAAAAACGGAATCGGCAATTTTTCAATTTCCCCCTGTATCACTGAAACGAAAGAACATATCGAAATTCCCAATGCGTCAGTTTAGGTTTGTCTTAAATCGAACCCGTAACATGTATATCGGTTTTTCGATAATTCTCTTTGTTATTGAGATAGCCCGTGAAATTTTGCCCACCCTGTACACATCAGAGGGGGGAAGAAATGTTCGAAGTCATCTCCACAAATTTGTGGAGATGACTTCGAGCATTCCTTCCTTCCTTTGAAATATTTCACTCCACTTTGAGCAAAATGGACTTCTACCAAAGATATGTATACATACCTATGATGGAGAATTCGAATATCTAATTTGATTCATAGATTGATTGTCTTTGGTACCCCAAGATACATATCTGTTTATTATTGGGATACATGAACACATCATAGAAATATTATTAATAATAAAAGGTTAACTAATGAATACCACTCAGTGGAAACCAATTCATACTTGTTTTCAAGATGAAAGTTATAACATTGCAATTCTGAGTAATCAAATAAATCCAAATATTTTAGAATAAGAATGTCCAGACTCCAGACCAGGTATTGTTTGAGATTGATAAAAATGGCGGATTTCCATCGACCAATAGAAAATTTGACGTATCATTGTCGACCCTGTGCTTAAACGTCACTGTACCTGAGCGTGGGTTCGTGCTCCGCGCGATCGGTACCGGTGCCCAGAATCGCCCCCCTCGCCTGCGGCATCATGTAGAGGTGCTGCATGCAGGAGGCCATGTAACAGGTGGCGCCGAGGTTGGTGAGGCCGACGTAGCCGCACTCCGACCGGCCGTCCTCGTGCGGCCAATAGTCCCAGGGGTGGGGCGAGCCGGCGGTGGGCTGATGTTGCTTGAGGAGTTTGTCGTGCAGGATGGCGTAGTTTTCGGGGGAGCCTGGAATCGGTGATAGTTCTGTTTTTGACAAACTTTTTCAGCTATTGTTATTAAGCACTATGTTAATATTTGGAGTTGAATAGTAGTCCAGTAACTTTGTCGCCTGAACATATGGGGGTAGCATGCGTCAAATCCGGTAGTTCTGATTTTTTGCAGACTTGTTCATGATGTTGGCCTAATGAATGATCCAAGTTTGTGACCTCGAGCACCGAACGCAACTTTGTCAAAAATCGACAAAACCGCGAAAAAATCGTCATTTTTTTCAAATTTTGGCCACAGGAATCTGGTTTTAGTTTACTCGTTACCATGATGATCATTGCCATAGCAACAGTTTTTCCATAGCATTTTAGCTAAACTAAATACGATTCAACTTGGCAACCACGCATTTTCCCACCATAGGATTTGCATTTTTGTTTACCTGTTACCATAACAACGGTTGCCATGGCATAATTTTTTCCACCACTGATTTCAGCTATACTAAACCCAATACAACTTGGCAACCACGCTTTTCCTCACTCGTAATCATGAAAACGGTCACCATAGCAACAAATTTTCCATAACTTATTTCAGCTAAACGAAACTTGAACCGATATTTGAAGTTGACCTCCAAATGTAATTTTTTTAAGAAAAAAATCTCTGAGAATGGCTGAATTTCTGGTATGTTGTAGATAGGAATGAACTGAAGAAAAAATCTAGTTGACCTAACCTCAAAAATATAAAACTAGCAAATAATTGACACTGAGTGAGAAATCTAAATTGTTATAATTTCTTGTTCGAGAAATAATCTAGCCTACTCAAATGGAATATACAGTCTTCATGTTACACGGAGTTTTATCTGATTCTCTTGTCATAAATGCTGGTGTTCCGCAAGAAGACGATACAGTACTTTTAATGCTTTTTTATATAGTATTGATATTTTGTTAAAACCATTCTTGGAACATGAACCCCAAATATTTATGAGATAGTTCATTTTACAATAAATATTTCAATAAATAAATACATAAATAACTTTATACAGAGTATCACCCACCTTTAACGAGCTCCACCAGCAGATCGAAAGCAGCCGTCCTCGACCGCGGACTCTTGCATTTCGGCACGTGCCTCAACTTCGGATTGGGCAGCGCGAACAGGAACTCGAACACCTCCAGCAGCAAGTCCTGCCCCTCTTTGCTGGTCTGGAAGGGCGGCCGGTGCTTCAGCAGGTTGGTGATCAGGTTCAACAGCCCGATGAGACCGTCATCGTCCACGGTGCGATGCCTGGTCTCGAGGTAGTCCCGCGTGAGCACCGACCGAGCGAGCTTGCCTGTCAATAGGGTTGGGACTAGAGATGGGTTCAGGCCTGGGGCTTTCATTTACGCCCGGCATTTTCATTAAAATGTGCCTGGGCGTTTTCCGTTAAAGCTATCCTAACCTCAGTTCAACTCGATCATTTACAATCCAAATATGCAAGATAGCTTTATCGACCTGTCAAATAATGAATAAAATACCCTGTATCTAAGAAAAATATATTGAAATCGAAATTTAATTCATATCATCCAACATTTATATTTACCAGTTCTTCTTATCTTAAAAAACGAAAAAGTTATATATGGGGTTCAATTTTAAGAGACGCGCCATACCACATCTCACATTTTCGACCATCAAAACACAGTATTTTGTATCGTTAAAACAGCAACTCAACAAATTTCCGAACATGTTTTTCTCCTCCATGGGGTAAGGAGCATGAAATTACACTGGAAAATATTTGACGTTTATTGGTAAGATGACACTAACATTCAACATTCAGAAGTCTCCAAATATAATTGATAGTATGTGCGCAATAGTAAATAAACATGCGGATAGATTCTCAGTAGATATTTACAATTTGAACTATAACCAAGTAAAAATGCATATGCGAAATGTAGACTTTCTGTAATCAAGTCATGTCTTTGCTACGCTCATGACTTTATGAAATTAGGGATGAGAGTGCATCAAAATGATATTGATTGGTATTCTTTATATAATTTTCAGAATTCCAACAGGTTCTCGAATATATATACATATATTTGTACATAAGACTAAGATGTCTTATACAATGTTGGTTAGGATACACTTTTTTTTATATTTTGTCTATGTTTGTATCGTCTTGTTTGCCGAAAATTAATATCACTATAGGTACCTAAAACCTATATGATTTCTTCCTTTTCATTATTATTATCCTTATTCTATTCTGGGTATGTATACATTTTTGTATATTTGACTAGGTATAAATTTATCGCTATGTATGCATTTATATATCTTTCTTTGACTTAGATTTAGTTTCTAGTTGTAAGAAAGAGAAATCCTGTAATTAGGGCCTTATGGCCCTGTTTGTATTTCTTCTACATTAAATAAACGTCAGATATGTTGAATTCGTTCCTTGTAAGAAAATATATTTATTTAGTTAAATGGATTCGTAGAAAAAACTGAAGGATTGAGCTTCAATCGACTTAATTTTTATTATTTTATTCAACTAAAGTCGTTTAATTAATAAGATAAAAGTGATATCCAGGGAACTGTAAAGTGACTAGGAAAGAGATTATTGGACATAGCCCTCACAAAGAGATAACCGTATACACGTGTTTCGGGCTTTCGGCCCTCATCAGTACGGTGAAAGAAAGTGCAAAGGATGGGCAGCACTTGGTAGGAAACGAATAACCGGTTGTCACGCAGGTAGCTATAGCTGCCTCCGTGGTGACGTTAGCTGTTTCCCTGAGACCTCAGGGTCTGCTGACCGAAACCACCAATGTGCGGCTGGCTTCTGTTTGTTGACTCCGTTTATTTGTTGTTTCGTTTTTTACCGTACTAATAAGGGCCGAAAGCCTGAAACACGTGTATACGGTTATCTTTTTGTGAGGGCTATGTCCAATCTCTTTTCTAGTCGTTTAATTATATATTGATTGGCTCAATAATATTACGCGAGCAAACTTCATTGATACTAAATAGTATTCGGATTCCTTATAATTAAATATATTTCTACCAACTTAAGAAAAATGAATTTCATAAAAAACTGAGAAATTGAGCTACTATCGATATATTTCTTATTATTTTGTGTAACTAGAGCAGGTTAACTGGGTTTCATTCAACCAAACAATGTTATATATGCGAATTTTATTATGTAATCCGCGACGAAAATAAGCCTACGCCATCTATTGGAGTATTTGGAAGCTGTCAAAGCAGCCTGTTTACTTTGGTTCCATTGGTTCACGTTTATTTTTTGTTTCTGCTTATTGGTCACATCCTTAGAAACAAACAGCTCAGAAGTGTTCAAATGTTGTCGTTAGGTGTGGGGACGTGTTATTTTCTATCGCAAATACTAAATACTGCTTCGAATTCCTTGTAAAAATAGTCAAGGCCGGAAAAATGCTACTTTCTCAAAGTAAAAGCGTCCGGAAAGTGAGCACTTCCCGGACGGTTGCCGAAAAAATATATTTTCCAACTTTAGTGGAATAAAGTTAGTCAAGAATAATGGTTTGAACTACCACCAGCTGCCTTATCATTATCTTGTTTAACTTGAGTCAGTATTTTGTAATTTGTGAGTGATCTTAGTATTTTTCTCAAGATATTTCGGTATGACATTTTCTTACTGAACACTCTCAAATCTTTCATATATCTCATAATTTCTGGTAAATTTTTGACAACTTCAAGAAAATTAATGAATTTCGGTCAATTCATGGAATTTATGAAATTTAAATAGACATTAATTTCATGACTAAAAGTAACATTCTAACTCTACCTGTCAAGCCGTTGATGTCCACCACGCAATTCTGCGGGTCGTCCAAGCTGTCCTTGACCAAATCATCGGGCAAGCTGTCCACCAGCCTGGACACCAGCCAGAAGTAATCGCGGCACGCGGGGCCGTATGGCTCTTTGCCCTCTTCGGGCGCTTGCAGGACCTCCAGTTTCTGGGGGCGCATGATTTCGGCCTTGTCCAGATAGGTGAGCAGTTGGGACAGCATGGGGGCTATCAGAGTGTTTTCGGCGGATTCTCGGGACGGAGATACTCCTAAGCAGAGTCGGTAGATGGCGGAGCATACTTCGCGACGTACTGCCGGTTCGGGGTCCTCCAATACCTGGAAGAGAAACGGGATTCCGCAAATGATACAAGGATTTCTTGTGACATTTGATTGGGAAGATCATATGAACATATAGCCCAGTGCTTAGTTTCTGAGAAAGAGGTGCAGGTAGGTTAGGAGCTGGGACAGCATGGGGGGCTATCAGGGTGTTTTCAGAGGATTACCGCAACGGATATACTCCTAAGCATAGTCGGTAGATGGCGGAGCACACTTCGCGACGTACTGTCGGATTGGGGTCATCCAATACCTAAAAGATTTACGGGGAGTTCCGCAGATAATATTTCTGGTGAGATTTGATTGAAAAAATCATATGGACATATTATGGTTCAGTGCTTAGTTTAGATAAGAATTGAGGTGAAAGTATTTTTATTCTCACATATCACAGAAACAATATCAGATGGAAATTGTGGAACAAGAATACACCTAGGCTCTGGAATTCATTGTCTGAGGAAGTATCCCCAAAAACATATAATCTCCAGAAGTTCAAAAAAAAATCCAATACCTACTTCCTGTCCCTATCCTCCCCAGGAACGCACGATGTTCTTTGAATTTTCCTTTCCTGTGCTCAAAGCAATAAAAAAAAGCGTGAAACATCGCTTCATGACTAACTGAATAAATTTATTTGATATCTTTCCAATCTTACCAATTATTATATCTCTTATACATGATGTATATCGAAAAAGTTTTCACCAAGTGAATTAAATTTAATTTCAATTGTTTTTTGCTTCTATTTCCCATATTCTCTGAATCAATAAACTCTAAAAAACAAATATGAGCCGATTCACATTACTTATTTCACAATTCATCCGTCAATGTTTATATCCTAAATTTCTATAATAATAATTGCAGATGTGGGTTTTTAGACATGTGGTAAATAATTGATCAACTCATTAATCAGTAACAACTAGTAGATTTTGAATTTTCAACCGTTTGAAGAGTCAATGACTCTGTAATTTCTAGAAGTTGAAAATGAAGACCGTTCATGAAACATTGAAATCCATATTCCTTCATGATGAACAAATTAAAAAAAAAATCATGGAGTTATTGATGGAGAATTAATGTACCATTTAATATCTGTAATCCCCTGAAACATTTTAGGATTGACATCGATGCAGTCGCAATGAGCAAACTCAGAAGTGCATGTACTTTACCTGTGGTGTGTAATTGTTTTTTCACCCATCTGTATGTATTGGCATTCTAGGAGAGTGTATTAATTCCGTGAAGGAACCTTATTTATCATTAATCAGTCACGAAACCCTAATAAGAGACTGATATAATTCAATAACCTGTTCCTTACCAATCTTTGCAACCAATCAGGAAAATTGGAAGTCTGAAACAGCTCCAGTCTCGCTTCTTCGCAACAGTGCAACCAGGACACCAACAAAGCCAAAGCGTAGTGCACAACTTGCGCCCTACCCCAAAACCCCGTCTTGTAGTGGTTGAGATCCTTCGGCCTGGACGCCTCCTCTAATATGCTCGTGATCTGCGACATCAACGATTTGGTGTTGATCAACGACAGCAGCGCCTCGTTCAGATTCGGTATCACTATCTTCTCGTTGCGCGACCTCGCTTCCTGCGCCACCGAGTCCACTCCCAAGTGGCAGAGGATCTTCAGGAGGGAGGCCAGACAGTCCTGTTGCCAGTCGCTGCCGTCTCCGCCATCTCTTTCCAGCACTCCTAACGAAATAATCAGCTTTTGAAACTTCCTTAGGAAAGGGCCTGTTTCAGCAAATCTTGTGACACAGAGTCAGCTGTCTTGGATGTTGTGACAGAATTTCAAATGCAACTAGATGCTAATAAGATGTGTGGACTTCTGTTAATTGATCTTCGCAATGCATTTGATACTGTGAATCATGATATTCTCCTCAATTTGTTATACCACAAATTACAGCAAATCAGCATTGATGTATATCTCTAAACGACGCCTCTCAAGTGAACTGAAATTTGATATCAAATTTAATAATGCAATCATCAAATATTCCACAGCCATCAAATTCCTTGTGATATTCCTTAATGAACAATTGTCATGGTCCAAACATATTGAATCGATCAGAAAGAAAATACCTCCAGTAATCGGTGTACTCTACAGAATCAGACAACAAATCACTTCGAAATACTCAAAATGTGTATATTTTTCCTTAGTTTATTCAAAATTACAATACTTGATTTCAGTTTGGGGTAAGATATCATAAATTTTACAAAAAAGTTAAAGATGTAATCCGTCATTCCCATCACTGATCAACATTAACTATTTGATAAATATCAGGGGATACTGTTCACGAACCAATTTTGATGAAATATCTGCATGAACTATATTCAAAGTACAGTATCATTCACCATATCATACATCAAGAAATCAACTATACACGCCTGGCAAGAGAAATCTTCTCATAGGAAAACCATCTATTCAAGTAAATTCACATAATGATTCATTGGTATCTAAGAGAGAAAGCGACGTAGGCATTGTTGCCATTATACCTACTTGTGTGTAGCTCGTGTGGCAAACATGCGACTAAGCGGACGTGATACCTTGGTAGAAAGCAAAGTTTGCCAGTAATGCTTTGTTTTTTTCTCTATGAGATACTCGTGAACTTCTGGACGCATTCACTTCAATAGATTTTTCCCCATGAGAAGATTTCCTTTGCCATATGTGTATGAACTATCACAATCACTAAACATCTTATTCTATTTCAGCTTGATGTTGCTACCTGCTAAAAAAGATTCACTCAAGTGCTCGATTTGAACATAACAAATGTTAGACCCTCCATAGATATCCACCAAGTTACATTGATTACTAGTATTATAGTATCATTATTGTTATTAATATTATATTTGTGGTGTGATTCAGTACCACCACCCCGTATTGTGTTCAGAATATCGACGGGTGCTGGTTTTATGACTAAGATATATTGAATGCATGATTAATGAGTTACATAAGTTTGATAAGAGAGGTGACAGGGAATAGTTAGGATGACCAGTATAGTTTAGACTAAAGAGCTGTAAGGGTGTTGTCCATGAATACAAAGTTGATATTTGAAGACGTGGATATTATTTGAGAAGCTTCCCAGTGCCCCCTTAACATATCAGAAGTGGAATTGATTTTTTTCTTGTTTTTTTGATTACTCAAAGTTCGAAAATGCCGCGGAGACGTAGGAGAAAACTCCAAGTTTCAGAGGGATATTTTATTCACATTACCCATCATGGTTGAAGCAGGTAATCCCATTTCATTGTTAAATGACGAATTTTATATTTTTATTTAATATTTGACTCCACTTTGAGATACCATGGACTTCTACCAAATATTAACCATTTCATTGTGTTCAACCATGACGTAATTTCCGTGTTGGTACACCTCCCCTACCTGCCCTGAGGTCTACCAACTCCATAGTTGGTAAAGGTGGTTAGAAGTAAACTTGATTATTTGTTTACAAATGTGAAAAATGGAGGATATGGGATATATGGGAACATTCGAATTGAAAATGAATGGAGTGGATGTCGAAGTATGATATACGGCTAAACTGTGGAAGTGGGTGAAGTGAAAGAAATAGGAATTCAAAAATAGTGTTGCCTCCCACCACATTCACCTAAATACTCTAACCGGGTTTAATGGGGAATGTGAGCGAAATATCTATCAGTAGTTCCTCAAGCTCAAGTTCTTCAGGCTCAAGTTCGTCGGACTTCTAGGGGCCACAGGAGGCATTAGCCACTGCTACTGCCCTGCGTTTGCGCTCTTATTGTTTACCTTTTTGGAAATATTGAAATATAGCCAATCTATGTTGATAATGTCTGATTCTGTGATTGTGTATTGTGAGTTGAACTATGCTGATACATGAAAATAGGAAATAATCTTTGAAAATAACCCAAAATAGTTTGTCATTTGACAGTGACAGAAGGGTAGGGAAAACTAGATGGTGTAGCACGGTGAAGCACCGGGGCTTCAAGCACTAACAAAAACGTTTCTGCCTATTTTTCATGCTCAGGTGTAGCTCTGGTGCTACCCACACAGTCAAGTAGGAAGTTGTTATAGAAGAATATAGAAGAATAAACAAACAAGGAAAGATGAAAGAAACAGAAGGAAGTCATCAGATCGACAATAATGGGTTAAAGCTAAAGTTATACCAGACTTTGATCCAAGAAAAGATAATGTACATGAATGGATAAAAATAATTGACGACCATGCTCTTTGCTATCATTGGGACAAAGGCACAACAAAATATCAGGCTTTGAATACACTCAAGGGTACTTCTGAACTGTGGCATCATAATTATATAAAGGATGAAATTGGATGGGCCAATCATAGTTGGACAAGATTCAAAGAAATACCAATAAAAAAATATTTTGGAGAACAGAAATATAATCGAATTCAAATTCGAAGTCATGAATCAATTAATGCAAGTTTAATAATTATTTTTGAAAACTTGTTGTAATTGTAACCAACTTCCTCACACAAGAACTTATTTTCGACAGGGAGTTGATTTTTCAATGAGTGAAAAAAAAATATATCCACCAACCTGACATGAAAATATCAAACAAGTGACTTAACCCGCCATGTTGCACAAATTTCCTCGCCCAACATTCGCCGTCCTCCTCGATATCGTCCGCATATTTTCCTTGGTTCGTCTTCACGCTGAGCGATTCGATGATATACAACGAGTACATCAGTTTTTGGGCGCTCGTCGGGTCCAAAACGTCCGACAGCGGGGTGTCGAGATTCTTGAAGCCGCGCAACAGCTTCGGACTGGTCGGAAGCAGGCTCAAGATGTCCCACACTCGCCTGCTGAGCACTTGAGCCTTCGTGTGCGGTATGTGACGCTGAAATATAGGTTTTCTACAACTGTCGGGCAGTGTGTACTTTCTGTGGCTGTCAAAACACACTCTAGGTGGAAACCGTAAGTGTAAGAATGGGCAACGCTTAGTCACGCTCAGATGGGACGTAACTGGGCCGTGGGCAATCCGCTTTGCGTTTCAATCACTGATATAAACTACTGTATTGACCGCCAATACCATAAAAAAAGCTATGCCTCTCAGGAGATCGAACTGAAGAACATGTATCATACTCATTTAGGACCTGTCGTATATCTTATTCACTCTTACTCATGTTTCCGAACACCAAGATACATGACTAGCTGTCATGAACGACAGTCTGGTGGTTTCTGCGGATTGAGCAGAAGCGTTTTCAGGCGAGAAATTTTCCCGAATTCTTCAGCTTGCTGAGAAATGATATATATGTATAGCAGTCTAGATAGTACTTACATCGGTGGTGTCAAGTGCAAGAATGCGCGATGATCAAAGCACACCCGAAAACCAAAAAAACAGAGTGAACAGACTGCTTTGACAGCTTTCAAATACACTGCTAGGTGGCGCCCGCTTATTTTCATTAGATGGCATTGCGATGACATTCAAAACTACGAGGAAACATCTTAACTCCTGACGTAGATAGAAAGTTAAACATGTTTTCCCGTAGTTTTTAATGTCATCGCAACGTCATCGAATGACCTTGAAGACCGCGAACTGTATTTTTCACTTTCTACAACAAATACAGTGTTGTAACAGGCCTCAAAAGATGTGCTGTTCAAAACTGGCAAAAAATACGGTCAGATTCGAACAGAACGTGCCATCTCGTAATCCAATATCGATCCTGATGATAAAATTTGGCAATGCACATTGTCGTCCCATGAAGAATGGGACTGACTACGAGTTACAATATGTGAAGCGATTTAGCGACGATTGACACTAAATCTCCTTTAGTGTGAATTGATTATGCTTATGTCTCATACAAATCTATCACCTGTATGAAATGAATATTATCCAGAAATAAGAGAATCATTGTTGAATATCTAACAGAAAACAGCTACCTTCCTGGATGATACCATACAATATTGAATTATATCTTTCAAATATTGGAAATCAAGAAGATAAAAAAAGTGCAATAACTATTGTATAAATATCTAACAGAAGACTTTCCTGGCTAATACCACATAATATTGAATTATATCTGTTGTTTGTTTTTAATATCTCAGGAATGGCTGGATTTCTTTTCAGTTTGCCAAACTCCATATTTAAGAGGTTTAATTCACACAAGTTTTATTTGATTCGATTTGTTTTTTGTAGTTGGCAGTTTGAAATGCTATTTCTTACAAAGAATGATGTACTCTAAATTGATAAGTGAATTACAAAAGGAAAATTTGTAATTTCGTATCTGCATCTGAAGGACACATCTGTTGGACGTAAAAACGTAGCACTTCCAGGTAACGCAGTCAATATTTATATCATCAAAGTATCAAATTTCTACATCAGGACGCTTTTATTTTAGCTCATTGTCCTACTTATATTTAAAAAAATATTATATTCTCCTCTGTGTCCACAACAAACTGAAAGAAAACCAGACTGACCATCCGCACGATGTTCCACGAACATTATAGGAATTTCCTTTCGTGCGCTCAAAGAGATTAAAGAAGTTTCAAAATTTGGTAAAATGAAATGGGACTCACTCCTCCTTTGACTTGAATCTTCATTGAACTCAAAGTATGCATCAGAGAAAACAACTGTTCAAAGTAGCTTGGTTGTAGAAGAAGAAGAGTAGGCAGACATTCCCTCGGTGGTGGAGGATGTAAAGAGGGAGCGTCCAAACATTCTCTCTTTTTCATGTTTCTCGACATTCCCACTGAAATGTAAATCATCTGGAAAATAAAATGTATTGACGATAATAATGATGATCAAATCACAGCATAAGGATCAAACAGCAGCGTCACTTCTATCCGCGGTACATGTATTCTAGTAAGTGTATTTCTGCTGACCTTGAACCACTGCTTTGCTCGTTGAACAGTAGCTAGCGCTAGAGTTTCCTAATGTACTTGACACTATTGTTTTGAAGTTTTTGTATATTTAGAGTACCGACACTATGACACTGACAGTCAGATATAACTGCAAATACATTGATGGAAAAAGCGGGAACTGACAGTACACGAACGTACACGACATAAATTTCGAAGGTTTGTCTAAATTCAATTGCTTATGTATTGCTTCTTCAAGGTTGAAATCCCAAGTCCGAACTTGTACGTACTTGACAAGAGCGGGACCTCTACAGCCATATTATGGTTCCCTGTTATGTATGTCTTGGAAAATCATTATTTTTCATCTCAATTGAAGTATCACAGCTCCATCATACTATTCATTCATATTAATATGTACCTATCTATTATCCTGTTATTGTTGCCCGTATCATTCGTTTATTAAACCATTTATTACCTACCGAACTTGTATAAGCGAAAATGTTCCATCTGAAATGAATGTATGTTTACGGAAAATCATGTCTAACTTTCAATCTACGCCAGGAGTTAGGAATGTTTTCCCGTAGTTTACATGTAATCGCAACGTCAGATGATAACCTTTGCTACCGCGATTAGGACAATTATTTTTGCCCGGCCTGTATATATGTACATAACAACTGGCAATCGACCTCTTTCGAGGTCTTTCAGCATATAACTCCATATTTCAAAAAGAAATAATCTTCAAATTAATTTATCGTATGTATGTAAAAATTGATCTAATCTAAACTTTGATGTTTTTTGTGGTTTTCACACGGTTGTCATCACATCAATGTCATTCTTCATTCTTTGACGTTTTATTCGTTTCAACACAATTATTACACCAGAGAATCACAAACAAACGCGACTATTATCAAAGCGAAAAACATATTCTTGTCCTTGACTGACAAAACATATGATTTACTTCAAAATCGTTTTTGGTTATGTTTCACTGTCACTGCTTGTTTGAGTGTCTGTACCCTTAAATATAAAAAAACGTCAAAACAGCAGTGTCAAGTACATTAAGGAACTCTAGCTAGCTCGTAGCTCATTGCTGTTTAATCCCTATGCTGTGATCAATTCATGAAAATAGTTACCTGATTATCTTTGAATCCCATTTCTGCTAGTGTCTTTTCATCATTTTCGATGCTTAGTTCCTGGCCTTGAGTTATGATGCGAATCCATGTATCGCCTGCTTTTGTCTTCGTATTTTCATTGGTTTCCGTCTTCATCTTGAGAAAGAAAACGAAAGGATTTGTCAACAATATCAAGTATTATAAAGGGCTATGAAAATATTGGGATATTTCGTCAAAAACCTCGTAGTCTTTCGACATAACCTCAATGAATCTAATATCAGTGAATTCCCCATAATAATCTAAATCAACAGCTTGAGGTTTTTCATGTCAAGTAATAATAATTATTATGAGCAAAGAAACTGGACATTGCTTTGGGAGAACTCACTACAAAAAATGAAACATTGCGACTTTGTAAATCATAGCCTATAGTATTTTTCCAGAAATTAGTGAGGAAATGATTATAATTAACATAATGATTGAAGTCAAGTCACATCTGGTTGAGAAACTCATTTTGAAGTAATATTTATTCAATTGGATTCCTCTCGTAGCAAAATATCAGAACAATCAATTGAAGTATCATCGGTATAAAACCTATAGAATTTTGAGGGACCCGTTAATCAGTCATCATAAATGTTATATATACACACCTGCTGTAATCCCTCACACCATTTGACAATCTCAGCTCTGAGATCGGCAATATAATCAGTACTGAGCAAATCTAGGAAGCATCTCTCCGAGGAACTGCCAGACTGCACGATAAGCCTTATTTGAGTACTAGGCCTATCGCTCAAAGCTGCGGAATGGCTGCCTATACCTTTACCTTCCAACGCCCACTTCCTCAGATGAAAAGCATACCTGAACAACAAGGAAACTCATGAGCATTGTTCAAATGGACGACTTCCAAAACGCAATTACCTTCTACGAAAAGTTTCAATGTGCGTTTTCATCAAAAGTAACGCCCTCTGTATGCATAACAGAGGAGCTTCTTCTGTGCCGATCGAAGATGTCAAGTCCTCAGACGCAGCTTTCAAGTGAGTCATACACTGCCAAACGAACTGTCCTTCGAATTGCAAGTTGTGACCCATATAGTAGCTGTTTATGTACTGAATTGCAGCCATACTTACTTCTGAAAGAAACATTCTGAGATAATATCTTTATCAGATTCACGGTTCTGGGTTGAGCGTGTTTTGACGGAGACGGGAATGGCGCGGGTATGTGCTAATCTCACGAGCTCAAGGTGATGAGATCTAGTCCTTGGAACAGCACATTTCCAATGTTTACTGTGATTCATAAATTCTCCTAAATGGCGTATAGCTCAGTGAAACGGAAACGATAAAGATCCTCTCGTGGAAAAATTGAAGAAGTCGGTTTCCCCGCAGTTTTATATGTTTTTGGGGATGCTGAATCTGATTCTGAAGTTTGCAAACAAAATTTTATGAAGCGTATAATATAGCTTCAGTGATTGAGGGTGTCTATCACTACTAACTTTTACCAATTGACAGTGAACCAGGCAACACATATAAATTTTATAGGTAATTAGTGCTTCCCAAGGATAATTCATCGTCTCTTTCAATCAACCGTTTCGATATTATCTAATTTTTTTATTTTTGATGCAAGTGTATATTCACAGAATTATGGACTAGACGATTTTAAAGCTCGTTACTTGGAAAACTAACAAAAATATAGGAACATTGAAAACAACATCTTGAATGGGATGTTGTATCCTTTGTAACTGTATCATTCAAAACTTCGCTTTCCCAAACCTTATACAGTGGTGCGAGGTTTTGTTTATTAATAATAGCCCAATATTCAATACATTATTATTTATTTACAGATCTGGCAGAAAATGACTGGAATACAGGAATTAGAAGGTAGTTGGCCAATATAAAATATTAAAGATATACGCAATTATTCAACTGGACTACTCTGCATTGATTTATTTATTTGTCCTTAGTTCGTAGCCAAGCGCTGTCTCCGCTTTTAGCAAGTTGTGCTACAGGGGAGAACAGTAGTTGTAATTAAATACTCCATATCCACCACGTATATCGTATATCTGCAACATTCTATCCTATATGAATGCAATTTTCTACCAGATCTGTATAATAGCGCTGATGGATGATCAAATGATTTACGGAATATAATTTTGAGTACACCTACACCTTGAAAACATGCCTAAATGCGTGAATAAATCGTAACGAGACGCTTAATTTGCGAGCAAATGATGTTAAGACGAACGATTCACCGCACTCGCCTGGCGTTTCAAAGAGATGTCGCTACGGTTAACAAACTGTGAAAAACATGAATAAAAATCCAACATCGAGAAACCGATGTAGAATTCTCTTGTTTCTTCATGTTGACGATGTTAGTATTATACAGATTTTCAACAGGTGTCGCTTCAAATATTTATAGCGCCCTGATACCTAATTATTTCCACATTAATAAAATTATGCAAATGAGTTTTCAATCTAATATAATCCTAAATTACATTCGATTTGATTGAGTGTCGAATTTTCGGATGCTCCTTCCATTTTGGGTTCAAATCCGAAGCGCATTCTTTCCACGAACCTGTATTTACTTCTTTATGGGCTTTGTTTTTTTATCGCGTAAGACACCGATCGAGCGACCGGTTGGTTAGGAGATATAAATATATTATGTTATGAAGCTGGAAGTAAGGGTGATGACTATTGTATAGGCACTGAGGCACTATTACGGCAAGTAAAGAATACTTTACAGGGTTGGTCTAGGCGTGGCTGATGGTAGCTTCTTGAAATATTTTTTTTATCTTTCGGAACGCTCGAAAGGAAATGTTCAAGGAAGAGCGCACGTGCATGGGGTAGAAAGGGAGAGCAGGTAGGAAATTGAAGTTGCTTTGAATCTTTGGATATGAAAAATAATCGTAGATATGATAGAACATAAGTAGATAGGATCATCAAATACCTTTTTGGTATATAATAGATAGTTTGATTATTCAATGTATTATTTAAAATTAAATAATAAAATTGAACAAGAAATATTTAATACTATTATTATTTAATATATCATTATTTCGAAATTCTAATATTCGATAAATATTATTCTTGATATCAAGGTCGAGAGAGACATCGGAACTCCTATACCTATAAACCATATCTTCTTACCGTATTTCACATGTCGGTATGAGTGAAGAAATCACAATATCAATATATAATATAAAATATTCCAAATAGGTATTGATATTTTCCTGGATATCCATATTTTAGATATCTGGGTGAAACGGCGGGTATACTCTGAATATTTCCACTGGACATGCCTCGACAGGATATCCTTCGAATATTATTTGGATGCGCAATGTGTGGATATCTGGAAATAAAATTGCGGACCAAAGGATTTTGCGTGTGACAGTGGAACAGCTCAAATATGAAATATTATACGGGATGGATAATCAAGTATTCAACTAGAGACTAGACCACTCTACGGGACTGTGGCTCAGCGTCGTCTAGTTGAATATTTGCAATGATACTTGCTAAACTTGCTTATTCATCGCGTAAAATCTTTCATATTTGATCTGTTCCACTGTGCATGAAAAAAACCAATGGTCCGCAATTTTATTTTCAGATCGGTATATGGAATGCTAATGTATAATTGAAGAGAATTCAGAACTCCTAATAATCGTATTTTGCAAAGTAGATAAAATCGAGCTCAAAATGTGATACACAATTGTCCAATTCAGACCAAGGTAGATACAGTGTGTCCCACTTTAAACAGCACCACCTTCGTATTTTCGTATACACTGATCTACTTCAAGAATTTTTTTTTTCAACATGTACTACTCAATGATATCTACATTCCTGGATATTGAACTCTCCCATTCCTTTTGAACACATCAGCCACCTATGAACAAATAAAAATGCAGAAAATCAGTAAGTAATAGCAGGAAATTTTTTAGCGGAAATCTGACTACAACTCTCTAAAATACATGTGGTAAAATTTTTACAATGATATCATATACAGGGCATTATTTATTATTAATAAACGTTCGATGTTCTACTATGATCAGAAAAAATATAATAATTTCATGATTTTTTTCAAATACCAAATACCAAATACCAATTGAACACATATTTTATACTATTTCTGATCATATACAGTGTGTTGTTCATACTAGGAATCAATTATTTCTCGAATTCGCAAATTAGGTCATTGAAGATGTATAGAACAATGGAAATATTTTGATTCGCAGAAAATTTGCGTTAGGAAATTGTCTACCTATAGAAAGGGTTAGGCAGGTTACATTTTTAGTTCAAGAAATATTTCTAGTTTCTTCTCGAAAATGAAATGATATAGTCTTTGCAAAGTCTCTTGAGACAACTTGATCAGAAGAGATCCGCCATCACGACCGTCGGTTCCTTTAAAAAGTTAAGACCGAACGCGTGCCGCGGCGATGTTTTTTTGCTGTCTAGAGTGAATTTGCAAAGACTAAAATAATACTTATATATTTTCACACCAATTCCCCGTTTTTGTTTTCTATTAAAATGGATTCACCATTATGTTTCTCTACAAATTATTGATTAGAGAAATATTTATTTACTTATTTGAAAAGATTTTCTTCGAATTTTCTTCAATTGATGTCTTGTCTCAGTTATTCCGTCAGAAAATATCATCTTATGGAGGCAAATAATTCTGATATCATGATCTGCTACTCCAAATCAGTAGCACATCATCAGTATTTTTTTCTGTACAAGCACTGTTCATCATAATATAATATCAAATTGAATATTTTTTCATTCGATATAGGGTTTACGAAATATTTGTTCGGATATGAAGTGTCACCTCAGTAAAATCTATCAATAAATCAATAAAAATATAAATAACAGTATCTGATGATTCACCTATTTATTTGATTGATAAATATCTTTTTATTGAAATTGTCACTAGTAAAACGCCGTCGGCCTACAAAAAAATACTCAAAGTATTGGTCCATGTTTTCAAAAACAGTTTAAGAACCCTACAATATATAAATCTCAGTAATTAATCGCCAGTTAATCAATTAATGATCATTGCAGAGCCTCATGTTGAAAAATTGGAGTGATAAGATATATAAAATGAGGTCTTGTGTATATTTTCCCAAAGAACCGTAGTAGAGATTCAGGATATTGAAGACTTGAAAAAATATGAATTCGATATCATTCACCTCGAAAAAAAAAATCCTTCGATTGTCTTGATATTTGATAAGTTCTATTGAAATAACAAAATGATCAGAATTTGTTTTATCTATCAAAAGGTGTCATAAGCACCGGATGAGTATCAGAATCGAAGATGTTCCACCACTATTTTTCTGAGCTGAATGCCTCCTTTTTATTTGCTTGCGAGAAATGTTTGCTTGAATTTTGTCATAATGTTATATATTATGTAACACCGTGCAGATTTTGTTGGAAATAAAATCATAATGAAATTTTTTTTTTCATTTAATCTGACAAAAGCGCTTCAATAACGATAATTAATGTTTTTACTACCGACATTTCCAAAGATGAATATCCAGAATCTAAAACTCTGAAAATTATGAATTTCTTTAATACTTCATATGTCTATATGAACTTTTATGTCACGATCTCCCATACTTCCATATTTCAAAATAAATGATATTGAACCAGATTTTTCTACCTGCTTTTTCACACTATATCATGAAGGAGGATAATAAGATGATTTAGGTATAGAAAACTACCTACCGTTGCGGGTGTGCTGTGTGATAAAGATATAATAGTCGATATACGATTTTTTTGAGAAAACCATCTCAGAACTACCATCAGATTTTTTCGATAGTATTTTGTTTTTCAAATAATCGAGAAAAACCAATATGTTGCGTTTTGACCATCCCCTGTATCTCTGTTATTTGAAAACTCACGACCGAGCTCACGACATTCATAATATGGGCACCAATAGAAATTTCAATCCTCCTTTCAAAAATGTATCACTATAACATATTATCATATTCTTCTGAACGAATACATCAGAAATAAACGAATCTGAAAATTTCCATAAGAAAAAACAATGCTATTGTCATTATCTCGAAAACGCAGGAAGATATTTCATTGTTCTATTTTTTATTCAAAAGTTCTTGAAAAAGTGCTCACGAAATGTCTGAGCCAGAATGCCGTAAGTTTTCAAATAACAGAGATACAGGGGATTGTCAAAAACGCACCGCTTTGGTTTTTCGCAATTATTTCAAGAACAGAAAATGATCGAAAAAATCTGATGGCAATTCTGAAATAGTAATAGAATTCTGAGAAACATTGCTCATTTGAACGACTGTGTAGCTCTTATAATAACCGAGATAGCATTGATAGCAATACATACAGCACCAATCTGGGACAAAGTGTATAGCAAAACAACGTTTGCCTGGAACATAGCCTGGAATATAAATAGCGTTTCATTTCACCCTAAAATGCCCTATGCTTTCAATTTTATAACCGTACCACCCGTACTGACCCTGACCACCGCGCCCAAGTGGTTCTAAAAATAGATAAGATGAGATAAGTAAAATGAAAATAACCAGCGGGATGCTTGCGGATTCGCCGTGGAAGGGGTTCTGAATTCTCTGCCTACCGCCGTCACCCTCTCGCACCTCATTCCTCAGGTGATCGCACTAATAACTTTTTTACCATAATTATAGTGAGTTACCCAGTAACAGGTAAAAGACTGATTAATCTGATTATTTTTCCGCAATGTGAAATTCTCAACTTGTTTCATTGTATTCTTCTTTATTCTGACTTCTGAGCGCCATCTAATAATGATAATTGTAATCAAAATTTTGCAACGCCATCTATAAGACAGAAGCTGAACTAATGTACCCCTGAATAGGCCTGAATTCAGACACGATTTATGTAGGTCGCCACCAATTATCGACGCCATATTGTTAATTTTGGATTTTTTCCCGTTTTCTTTGGAACGGTGTGATTTTGGAAGCCAGAATTTGGGCAGGGTATGGCATTTTAGTGTATCTAGGAGTTAAACCAATTTTCATTAAAATCTGTGACACAAAATTTCCCAATGTTTACATTTTTCAGTCATCGCCTGCTTTCTTCAACAAACGAGTTTGATTTCGGAAATTACTTTAACTCCTAGCTTGAGCTTTAGTCCTTAGTATCATCCAAACCGTTTTTCATTTGGACTTTTCGTTTGGCAGAAAATGGGGCTGGAAAATAGGTCTGCATAGCGATTGTCGTGAATCGTCGGTCTTAACTAACTTTAATGCATGAAGAACATTCATATATAATTTTTCAACATCAAGATATATACGTAATGAGACCCTCCAAAAGGCATCTGGGTGAAATCATGTCCGAAAATCTGTCACTACCTGCCGGTCTAAAAAATTGTCAAAGGTAATACCAGGAATCCTTCAAATATTATCAATATTTTTTATAATTTTCTACGGACTGGTGATTTTATCTAATTCGGTTTGTTTGAATGATTGTCTCACATAACAAAGTTTGAGTGATGAAAATAAAAAAATATCGGATAAAATTTGAGGGACGAGTTGTATTTGGGAAGTTTATTTTCTCAATTTTACCAGTCGAATGAATACTACGTCCTACTCTTATGGTTGATCAAACTGTTCTAAAAGTGATGAGTGTGGCATACTTTTGCGGTGACTACAAGCGAGGATGCGTACGTCTATACATATAGTGTATAATTTAATCTTCTAAAGAAATGACACATTATTTGGGTAATCAAATTGAAAGACTTACACACAAGACGGATCGAAAAAAACAAGATGGCGGACACTGGTAAGTTAATTTTGATAGTTCAATGGAAATGCAATTTTGTCGAGGGTAATGCCACAATAGGTTCATATTTAATCGAATAAACTTTCATTTTGCGAGAAAGCTTGGTTGTTTTGGAAATAATTGACGTGAGCAAATAACATCTGATGATATTTACTAGAGTCATATTACAAGCTAACAAGTTTGAGTGGAACAAAATTAAAGTTAATGGGATAAAAACAAAAAACCTCTTGTGGTATTTAGTGATATAATTTAACGAATCAAATGAATTATTAAACAAATGTAAATAGAACATCTATAATTCATTGAACAAAAAGTACATTCAACAGGAAATGTTATCTAAATGTACAATTTAGTGAAACTCAAGTTCTGGTATACAACCCTATCCGAAGAAGACTGCTGAATCTGATTATTTTCCTCTCTTAGATTTGTCACTAAAGTGGAATGATGCTGGGAGTCTAACTGAAGGTATGGCTTCAGATAATTTGCGTTCAAATGTCCGGTAAGCTTGATAATTTGTTGTTCTGAGACTCCTGCCTTGACAAGAGTAGAAATAGTGCTAGCCCTATGGGAGTGATTAGTAATTTTATTTACCAGATCTAGACTTATTTTTACTGCAGAAATTCTGGCCCACTTTGAAATTTCGTAAGGTAAATAAAAGTTTATCCACTTGCAAACAGTTACGTTCCTATTTATTCGATATCAGACTGCCAAAACTGACGTTTCTTATGGACGATTTTATACATGAGTAAAATTATCAGTATAATACCGAATTATTGGCTAGAATTACGCATTGCTATTGGTTGAAACAACGAAACCGTCACATTTAGACATGTGAAAAAATAATCAACCATAATTTCGCTAGAGAAGCCAAAAAACGAGCAAAAATACCTGTAAACTATGAAAATCATCCATTCTCAAAACTGTCAATCCTTAAGATTGTTTTTCTATATACCTTTATTTTGACAATGTTTTTTACATTCACCTACTTTCAAACATGTGATCGATAAGAAACATTTTCATCTTTTTTGAAATGATCAATATCATTAGTCAGATTTTTTTGGCGCTTCAGCCGCTTCAAAGAATGGAACTGAATCCAACTCATCACGAAACTGATTATTTTATTCAATTTCAATGGTACTGTTTGTTTTCCTGGCCCATAACAGGTTTGTTTTATTCTGACACCATATACATGTTTTTCCTTAACATTAGTAATGTACTTTAGGTCGTTACAGTCTGATGATGGCCGTTGTGCCGAAACCGGTCACTGTCTAATTTAAATTTAAAACAATTGTTTTGATATAAAGTGTTGAGAGAGAATGAGAATGGACTGCATATAAATAACTTTATAATAAAACTTGGTGACTGGAGCCGATGATCTGGACTCTGGAACTTGGATTCTGGATGAATGGGATGATAAATGGCACGTGATGCACTTCACAAATTATGCGCGATCGCGACTTCGAGATTGATTAAATATGTTCGGCTTTGAGAGGCACAGTGGACTCGCGTTTTGTGTCTATGAGGACTTGATTGAGAGTGTTTCAAAATTGAGTGTGTCCGATCTTCGGGCGATTCCGTGGACGATATCTGAAGATACGAAGCTTTGCCAAGTACTCAAGGAAGATCATTTGAATTTGAAAAATTGCATTATAATGACTTGGTTCAACTAATGTTTAGACTATCAATATCACATAGAGCCGACATGGACGTGACATTAAGTATGGTCGACGGACTTGGAGTCTTTCATTTCATTAACAATAGTATATTATTTAACGAGCGGTAATGTAGGTCATAACTCACGCAGATGAAGTTTGCAGCACGAGCCGCAGGCTCAAGGGAAAGAACATCATTAACAAATGTTAATATAATTAATACAAATTTTAGTTTTAATCACTCATTTTGTTTATTGATAAAATTAACAGTGAAGTTTGAACAACCAGTAAACTGAATATGTGGAACTGAATTATGGAAGTTTATTGTTCCTTTTTGTGTTTGTTGCATATATGTTGTTGATGTACTAACTGGTTGAGCTGTTATAGAACTGTATTTGCAGTATCTGTCTTATTCTTTTCGGAATCATCAACATACCCATCAGCAACAGTAGTTGATCGCCAACCGCCATAGCGTTTCAGTGCCGTTATATCCCCTCCAGCATCTACTAATAAAGTTGCCGACGAGCGGCAAAAACAATGCCCTGTATATAAATTACAGTCTGGTAATTTCAGAAATGTGGCAATGTCTTTCCCTATTGCTCCAAATTTATTAATGCCAATGCTTTTTGAGTGATATTTTCCATTTTAAAATTAAAAGAATAATATCGTTTGCGATATATCGGTAGGACGAAGATTTAAATATTTCTTAACTATGGTATAAAAATTTCCCGTAACAGTGAATTTTCTGACAATTTTTTTTGTAATCAGAACACTGACCATAAAAATAGATCCATGATCTTCTGAATCTGTGATTTGCATAGAGTGCAATTCTGCAGTAGAGTAGAATGTCCATAGAGACGATGCATTATATTTAGTGCTAAGTTCACTAAAATATGCCAAAAGAACATTCTCTGTGAACGATGACTAAATGTTCTTACTGTTACAAAAATCTCGAAAATGTTTGTATTCACCTTTATATTTGTTTTGGGATTTTTCTGGCAATAGATTCTGTATGGTAACATTAGCTAATTGTCTTATTTCTGGAGGTGTACATGATGATCCATCTTCACTATCTGAATTAATCTTTTTCAGCAAAAAAATCACAATAATTGTATCAACTTAATTTAAAAACGTCAAAATTATTCAATTGACATCACTCCCCTCAATAACAATAATGGAATGTTCCCTTTCGGCCAACTGGCATGATTGTACAGAAGTACTGAACCATCTTGATTTTCGGTTCGTAAATAATTCCAAGAGCCTTTCCCGATGTAAGTATTATAGTGAGGTATAGTAGCGAGAGTTATTATAACTCACGCTGATTGTTTACAGATAGTATTAATTGTTCAAAGGCAGTTGAATCATTGATATATAATTTAATAGGAGTAGATAAATACCTGTATTACAAGCCTTGAGCGCGATCTTCCACATATGATCCATCCCCACATTCTGATTCTCGCCGTTCGAGCCGCCCCCCTCGCCGCCGGCCAGGAAGTTGTTCAGGCTGCACAGCTGCTGGAACAGGCCGAGGCAGATCATGCTGAAGCGCTCGGGCGGCAGGCTGGGCAGGTGGTGCACGTAGAGCCGGCGCAGCGCGTCGATCTTGAGGGCGTGCAGATCGGCGGTCTTCGTCTGGGAGAGCAGCCAGCTGAACAGTTCGTCGGCGCACTCGGGGTCGCGGGCCAGGCATTGCCAGAGGGTGTCCACCTGGTCGATGCTCAATCTGGAATTTTTTTTAATACAGTGTGGTCATTTAAGTGTGCAACATATGGGAATCTTTTCAATGAATTGCACAACCAAATTACAGATATGTAGTGCCGAAAGTTGATGCATGTTCCGTAATCATTTTAGGTGCACTCAGAATGGTTGCAAGTCACACAGCATACAGGGTAGGTCAAAAAATATAAAAATTGCTCAATCGTAAAGTATCCTTATTTCAGAAAATTCAGCAAAATGTTATTGGGAAAAGTTGTTGACAATTGAAAGTTATGCCTAAATACCAAAACATGGCCTCCTAAGACATTTTTCAATTTTGTTCGTTGATAATTTCCCAATTTGTAATATTTTAAATACGAAATGTTCACATTAAATGGAAGTTTTTGAATATGCATATCATCATTAATGATGTTTTACCTTGTTGAAAATATGGTTTGCCAAATTTAAAAGTTAAGCTGAATATCGTTGCAACAAACATAAAGTTTGTGATTCCCTAAAAAAATTAAAATTCAAGTTAATTGCACAAATATGCTTGAATTTGAACGAAGGTATGCTCAACTGATTTTGTTATGATTAACTTATGAAAGTATTCAGGGTGAATATAAAAAAAATACAAATGGGAAAATTATTCACGAACAAAATTGAAAAACTAAAAATTATCTTAAGAGGCCACGTTTTGGTATTTAGGCATAACTTTCAATTGTGAACAACTTTTCCCAATAACATTTTGCTGAATTTTCTGAAATAAGGGTACTTCACTCTTGAGCAATTTTAATATTTTTTGACCTACCCTGTATGCTGTGTGACTTGCAACCATTCTAAGTGCAGATAAAATGGTTACTGAACATGCTTGTGCAATTCATTAAAAAGATTCCCACATTTTGCACACTTAAATGACCACACTGTATATCCTGTAATGTTCAGAGAACATCGTGAGAACCAAGGTAGAAATTGGTGTTCTTAAATTTCTGGAGGTTATATGCCTCGGGGAACACCTCCCTTGACAATGTGTTCCAGAGCCTCGCTGTTCGTTGGATAAACGAGTCTTTGGAAAGAGATGTACTGCAGGTCTCCGAAGACTCAACTCGAAAGGTTAATCTCGCGGGGATTGACAAGGGAGGAACAATTGTTGATATTTCAGAAGAGCATCGTCTATGAAAATATTTATAAAATAGGGCCAGATCGCCAACTTGTCTACGGTGTTCCAGAAAAGTGAGTTTGTGAGCGAGGCTTCACCCACGAGACGAATTGCCTTTTTTTGGACAGAATCCAACTTTTTCAGGGTGTTTTTGGGTGCTACACTCCAAATATGGGAACAGTATTCCAGGACAGGTCGGATCTGTGCCTTATAGATCATAAGCAGCTGACTGGAAGTGAAACAGCTCCTGGCCCGAAACAGAAAACCAAGTTTTTGGGATGCTCTTTCAGCAATTTATCTCACGTGATTTTCCCAAGAAAGGTTACTGCTGATAGTAATACCAAGCATCGAAATGGATGTCTTCAAAGATATGGTTACTCATGACAAGCTTATGTTGGGCATAGTGAAATCGGCTTTTCTAGAGAAAAGGCATGCTTGTGTTTTGTTTGCATTGAAATCTACCAAGTTATTGGATCCCCATTCGAAAATTGTTGCCAAGGCCATATTCATGTTGTCAACATTTCTTCCTCGTTCGTTTCTGATTTTTCCGGCTGGTCTTGGAGCCCTGGAAGAGAAAGTGGTATGTAGGGTACTATCGTCCGCGAAGCTGTGTACTGGACATGAAGTTGCTTCCAACAAATCGTTGATATGGAGTAGAAATAGTGTTGGTGCTAGAATTGATCCTTGTGGAACACCAGCATTCATGATAAGAGAGTCAGATGAAACTCCGTCGACCACTACATGGAGAGACCTGTTTGAGAGAAAACTAGCTAGCAGAGAACATAGCTGGGGAGGCAAGCCAAAAGATGGAAGCTTGGCGCGGAGTCCGTGGTGCCAGACTCGATCGAATGCCTTGGAGATATCAAGTGTTACGGCTAATGTTTCACCATATTTTTCAATAGATTGCTGCCATATATGTGAGACGTAAGCGAGCAGGTCGCCAGTTGATCTCTGATGACGGAAGCCATATAGCCTATCATTGATAATACCTAAATGTTCCAGGTATTTCATAAGCTCGATGTTGATAGTTTTTGCCATGATCTTTGAAATAATAATAATAGATAGCAGTGCGATCGGTCTGTAATTGCTAGGTAAGGTCTTTTTGCCTTTTTTAGGAACTGGTTGTACTCTAGCAAATTTCCAGTTGGACGGGAATATCCCCAATTTGTAAGAGTAGTTGAACAGGTGTTAGTTCGGGAGCAATTCTAAGATCAAGAGCCCGTGTCATTATTTTTAGCAGTGATAAGTTTACGCCCCTCGACCACTGAAACGTGTATTATCCATGTCGTCGATGCTACAGAGATTCTTGCCATACATGATTTCCGGGGCGAAGTTAGAGTAGGGGGCTCACCGATCTGTGTGAAAAAAGTAAGTGAAATTGACTGACTGACAACATTCCACCGAAACATGAGATGACGTACACATGAATTAATCAATCCAAGAGCAAAAAGAGCGAAAACTTACTCAAGGAATAATATAAAGTCTGCACAGTGACTCTAAATGAACATTTTAATAATTTTATATGTGAAGCAATTACGCACTTGTAGAGTTACACACGATGCCGCGTACATAATATGCTCATCCAATATGAATATTGACATAGGTCCTTGGATGAGGATTCCGAAGAATGGTGAGAATATTTTTACAGACCATCACATGTGAAAATGTCTGAAGAGCCAGAAACAATATTATGTATAGAAGGATTTGGAATGTTGGACAAAAAAGATTCACTCATTCAGCCTTAACTGAATTCAATAAACTCCCTGACAATATAAAAAATTGCAGAAATATATATAAATTGAACATGCCATTTTTTATTATTTTTTTTTATTATTCTTTGTTTGTCAATTTACAGTTGTTGATATATTTTGTATAATGATATGTTCACCAATAGGTATATAATTATGTACTTCCTTATACCAGAGCCTATTCTGTCTGGAAGTTATTTGTTCAATAAATGAATAAATAAATAAATAAATAAATAAATAAATAAATAAATAAATAAATAAAATAAAGTGATTCTCATGAATGTGTTTGCGCCATGAATAGAAATCTAATAACATTCATCCCAAGAAAAATAATAATTCGTCTCCACTGAGTGGAATGTATTTATTCCATTATTTTTTGTAATGGTCAATATTTGTTCATGTATCCCTATTATTAACAGGTATGTTTCTTACAGTAATAATGACAACAAAATTGAAACCAATAGAGTTGAATTAATAAAAAAACTTACTTTGCTTCTGACAAGAGAAGCAAGCAAATTGGCCATCGGGATACGATTGTTCACTCCCAACTTCGCGTTTTCCCGTGTTTTTCATGTTATAAAATATCGTAGATTTAACGAATTATTAAAAAAATGTACAGGATAATGAAGAAAATGGATTGTGATAGTGAACTAGTTTAAATTAGCACTTCAAAATTACGAAATACAATTTTCACTGGAACAGATCCATCAAACAAAAGTCCATATGAAATAAACAAATCTTTACCTTGATATTTTGCTAGATTAATTATCATTGCCAACTTTGAGCAAGTCAATTTTGAAAACTCGCTGATCAAGCTTCACACCAGTTCATACTAACTTGAAATTGTTTGGTGACACAACAGGAGAGAAGACTGCCGATAAAAAATGGAGCCTGACTTGAATCTGCATCTGATGGCTGTAGAGCAGTAGCGACTTGTTCGGATCGGCTGTGTACACTTTCAGATTGTTGAAGAAGTGCGTCATCATGTGATGTTGCCGCTCTGCCCAGTGGGTCACCTGGTGCATGTCTAAACCTCGAAAAGACGTCAGCAGTTTAGGTAGCATTCGAAGAGAAACTACAACCGACCTAAAAAAATGCTTATAAAGATTCGACATTTGACTATGCGGTGATCTTTTCCCGTTCAGAGATATAGAAAACAGTTGGTTGTGCATAATGAGGGCTAAAATGTCCACCAGATCGCGTTAGTCAGACGTGAAATCGAGGATGATAGAGATGTATACTGTATATTCCGGGTGATTTTTCAAGGTGGCTCACCCCTTTAACTTTTTTACTATTGGAAGTAGTAAAACGAAATTTGGATATGGTGAATTACTTTTTTTCACATATCTACTTGGTCAGTCCTACTTTCATTTCATTTTCATTTCTTTTTAAATGGGACATCCTGTATTTTATTCCATAATCGGTTAGGGATTATCATATCGAATTCGACGATATCGGGTTTGATATGAGTTATTTCAAACGATTACGAAGATATTTGCATTTGAAATTGCAATATGCTCAATGAGTGTGACAAAGAAAGAAGTTTCGACATTGCGCCGTCACACCCATTGAGTATATGGAAACTGCGAATGCAAATATCTTCGTGATCGTTTGAAAAAACCCTATGAAACCCTGTATCGTTGAATTCGTTTTTCGTTATAATAATCCCCAACTGATTATAGAATAAAATACAGGGATTCCCATTTTCAAATCGAAAGTTGGGCAATTTCCGGTCAAATAAAATACAGACATTCCCATTTACAAATCGAAAGATGGGCAATCTCGGTCAAATCGGAACTATGGCAAAGCAAATAGATATGTAAAAAAATGTCAATTGAACTATAATTCACGATCTATATAGTTTTTTCATCCTCATGTAAGTGACATTAGCTGTTCATGTTCCTGTTACTAGTTGAACTTCTTCACACGTTTATAAGACCTCATGATCTAGTATTCTATCTGGTGGCATTGAAAATGTTAGCCCTCATACATGTTTTTTTTTTCAAAATAGAGCAAGGACACTCGACATGCAGAAAAATTAGGACATAGAGACAGATGAGTTTTTTTGTAATCGATTAACTAAGTAGCTTTGACAATTTTTTCCATTCTTTGTAGAATACGCATGTATTTATCTGTGTATTCATTCACATGGTTTCTTTATAGGAAAAGCATTCTTGCCAGGCGTAAATAATTCAAACTAATCAAACTCATTTTCATCAGAGAAGCCGTATTTTCATTTCTTGGTTCGATAACAGTTTCATATTCAGATTATTATTCAAGTAGTCATCGCCGATAGACATTATTGACCTTTCCTTTTGTTGAGAGCTGCGTTTGTAGGAAAATATTGTATCTCAATCACAGCGACACTTTATAAAAGACTAGGTTGATATTGCATGATTATTTGCATTTTTTTAACTTGTTATATCTTATTATAATTTCATAATTGTATGTATAACATTATGTATATTGTTTATGTATCCCTATTATAAACAACTATGTTTCTTGGGGTAATAAAGACAATCAACCAATCAATCAACTGCAGCCTGCAGCTGTTAAAAAACTACCGTGCGACGTGAAACGTTAATCTAGATTTATGATATAGAATGGAATGGCATGTTTTAGGACCAGTGATTTTATAATGTTCTGAAATATATCAAAACAATTTGGTTCCTTAGGAATGCATTTCTGCGATATTGTTGTTGTTGTTGTTGTTGTTCTTTATTACCCCAAGAAACATATTTGTTTATAATAGGGATACTAAGAATTTGAATAAAACTGAATCAATTGTTGACTTTTTTCAACTTGACTTTTGACTTTTTTGTTGTTGAGTCTATCTGTCACTGCTGGCCAGAGTATCCGTTCTCGAAGAATTATAAATTCATCAAAAATACGTCAAATCCAAATAGGTTCTCTAGTTAATACTATGGATTTGAAATACATTTCTTACTCACACATTGTTGGCCAAGTTATTGAGGCAACCTTCAATGAATTTCATTCGAATTTCTTTATCAGGAGTGTAACAGATCAAATTGCAAAGGGTTTTTTCAGCTTCCAGAGCCAAACCTTCTCCTAGCTGGCACTGCAAAGAGTGAAACATGTAGAACAGAAAACATAACTTCAACAACAAAATATGAACTTACAATCTTTTCATCTTGCAGTAGATCCCAAAGTAAAGTATTTCCAGGTTGACATACATTATCTACTTTGAAACATGCCGAGAGTCTAGGATCTACTCTCATTGGTGATTTATCTGGACTGTCAGGAGAATGACTAAAAACGTGAATGTTCATACTTGCCTGAAAAGTAAAACATTTTCAAGTTGGAATTACACTCCATCCCTTGAAATAGGATAAATCATCAAATTTGGAAATGACCTGTAGGAAAAATATTCATTTAATTGGGAAATAATTTTGATGACGTTACACCCTACTAGAGACAAAAATATTCACTAATAGTAGCTCATAGCTTTTGGAACAAAACTCTATTCAGCAAAATTTCATCAAACGAAAAGTTGAATAATATTTCAAAGTGGCACATTTTTTATATATTTTCAAAAAATTGTTATACGAAAAAAGTTCAATTTCTGTAAATAATTATAAAAACAGATACCTACTCAAGATTCATGGAACAAAAAGAAAAAATACAAAAAAATACAAGATCGAATTAATACACATATAAGCACAAGTTTTTACAGAAAACAGTTGTCAAAAATATCATTATAGAGAAATGTGCATGTTTTATAGTCAATTCAGATTTTGTCAACGTGATGCTTCAACTGTTTCAACCAAACACGAACTCATAAAATGGTTTCACATTAAATAATCTACCAATGATAAAATGGGTAGGATAGTATTTACCCTTACATACTCATTTTACTTACATGTTCGGCCAGTCTTGCCAGTTCATCTTCACAAACAGAATCTTCTCCATCGAAATCGGCCATATTTTTCTCAGATTTATTGCTCATGCGTGAAGAGTAGCTGCCCTCCGCATCTCCTTCAACTTCTGCCTCTTCCCCGCTCAACATTTCTAAGATGTGCCTAGAAAACCAGGTTCCAAATTTTGAAAATGTCTCTAGCAATGAAGAATGTCACATTCGATTTACTTGAGTAAATTAAAAAAAAAAACATGTTTAAACCTATAAAAGACGTGATGTGACCCGTTTTTTAAATCTACCAAACGAGCCCAAAATAAAATTTAGATAAAGGATACAGAAATTAAAGTAAAATGAGAAATACTTGTTTCACCAGCTTCTTTGATTCTATTAATGAAAAAACCGTTAATGGAACAGCCCTTTAATATAGTAATTTTCCATAGTTTTTCCCCGAATATGTAAGGTTTTTGGCTTCTCGTATACCTTGATAGAACATCCAGTTTATATTGCGTTCAAGAGTTTGTTGTGAAGTGATAGTATTATTTTAATTGAGTATTTATTATACAGTTATCAATAATTATTATACATACCCTGCTTTAGAATGTGATGACAAAAAATTTGGACACACTTCTTCATGGCTCTCTTTGCCAAGTTCGCTACAAGAAGAGCTTTCTTCCAGATAGACAGCCGGTTTGTTGATACTAAAATGACTAGTTCAATGAGAAAAAAACATCAACTGCAATATCCAATAACAATCATACTTACACATCCATCAGTTTGTTTATATGGGAAGGCAGCACCAGAACGGCGTTCGTTATATTTTTCAACTGATCTTTCATATCATGATCGCTGTCAGCATCAATTTCGCTCATTGTTTCCATACCGGTCACCCTCGTAATTCGTTTATGACTGCCTGAGAGAAAGTTTTTTTTTTAATATCACTGTCGATAATGTCACTTCATGCGCTCCAAGATGAAACAAATTCTCAAACCCACAGTATCTGTAGGAACTACTTACCCTTTTGCCTTTTCACTCTTGTTTTTCTCAATAATTTTCTTCTTTTTCTGAGTTTAGCAGGAGAGTCTTCAATGTCCGCCTCATCCTGAGAAGTACTTGTGGCAGCTACTTCAACACTTTCCGGCAAAATGTTCATGTTGGCCAGAATTTTTTTACGAACATGAGCTCTTTTTCCAGATTTCATTTTCACATTAGGCCATTTGGGTTTGGTTGGTGTTTTTATTGGAATACCTGATATACAAAAAAATGTAATTTGTATTAAACCTAGGCAGTAACTTCTCCGCACGATTCTTGTATTGTTGAAAATGATGATATTTAGGACTAACTAAACAATCTTCATAACTATTCTGTCTCATGTGTCATTTTGTAGCATTATTATAAAATCTTGTTTACTTAATGAAAACCCTTTTTTTTTTTCATAAATAATATGGACAAAAGATTGTAATTCATATTAACGGCATGTTCCATAAGAACTCATGTGTTAGAGAGGCACTGAGAATAGATTTTTAATAAGATTGAAAATAAACAAATTTTTCTAATAAATGCGATACACCGTTGATTTTAGGTCATTGGAAGTTCTCAAAATCTATGATGAAAAATCTAGGTCCGTATTTAAAAAAAACAAAGTTGATGATGGCAGCTCAAAGACGAAACGTCGGTTTGAAAATCTGATAACACATAACAGAAAAAGTAGCAATGAGAATGTGTAATTTGTTTTTCTATAACTATTCAAATATAGTTAGAAAAAAATGAAAATGAAATCGCGAATATGCGGTAAAAAAAAGTATTCGGAATTTTTCAAATTTCAAAACGGTATTTTGTTAGACATAAAATTGCGCAACCTTGCCTGTAGCTGTAGCTTTTACCGTTTCCGAGATCCCCATGCCTCTACTCGAATTTCACTCACCCGGTATCTGTACTTACTATATGTGTACTTACCATCTAACTCCGTGTCAGTACTGCTACCGTCACAATGTACTCGCTCTGACACTTGTTTGCGGGCCAATTTGCAAGGGGGCGGGCCGACATTTTCCCCGCCCACCTGCCCGTTCTCGTCTTCGTCGATTTCCACGCCCTCCAGTTCTTCGCTATCGCTTTTATGGCTTTCCGATTGAGCTGAACTGTCACCCTGCATTGTTTTTAACCTTAAGACGATTTATTCATAGCCACCATGTACAGGGTAATTGTTTATATTTTAGTTACTGCTATCTCAGTTCATATTGTTCCTACAGAAACGTTCAAATTTTTTTTTTTTTTTTTTTTATCGATTGGAGCGCACGAAAGGGAATCCCTATAATGTTCAAAGAACATCGTGCGTTCCTAGGGAGGATAGGGACAGGAGGTAGGTATTGGAATTTTTTTTGAATTTTTGGAGATTATATGTTGTTGGGAATACTTCCACAGGCAATGAATTCCAGAGCCTAGCCGTTCTATGAATGAAGGAGTCTTGATAAAGAGCTGTTCGACATCTTTCAAGGTTGACAACGAAAGGATGTGCTGACTGGGCTTGTCTAGTTCGTCTGATTGGTATTGCTAGTGAAGGGATGATTGCAGAGATTTCCGAAGAACATTTCCCGTGGAAGTATCGATAGAAAAGTGAAAGGTCGCCGACCTTTCTACGGTGTTCCAATGATGTTAAAGAGTGAGTGAGTGTGGTGTCACCCACTAGGCGAATGGCTCTTCTCTGGATGGAATCTAAGAGCATCAGCGTATGTTTTGGTGCTGAACCCCATATGTGGGAACAGTATTCTAGAACAGGCCGTATCTGCGCTTTGTAGATCATAAGAAGCTGTTGAGGTGTAAAGTAGCTTTTCGCACGGAACAAGAATCCGAGTTTTTGTGAAGCAGCTTTTGCGATGGATCTGACATGATTATCCCATGAAAGAGTGTTGCTGATGGAAATACCGAGCATAGATATGGTGGGCTTGGTGGGGATGGTGGAGCCAGCCATTACAATATCGGGCATACTGAGTTCCGCCTTTCTAGAGAAAATGCAGGCTCGAGTTTTGGTGGCGTTGAATTCAACTAGGTTGTTCGTTCCCCAGGCTGTGATTTCAGCAAGATCTTCATTGACAGCATTGACCTGCCTGCGCCGTGAGTTCTTAGTTTCCTGGGAAGAAATGGGAATTCTGGAAGAGAACGCAGTATGGAGGGTACTATCATCTGCAAAGCTGTGGATGGGGCAAGTTGTTACTCCCAACAGATCATTGATATGAAGCAGGAATAATGTTGGTGCCAAAATTGATCCTTGTGGAACGCCGGAATTGATGCCAATGGTATCAGACGATACACCGTCCACCACTACGTGAAGCGATCTGCCTGAAAGAAAACTCGATAAGAGATGGCATAGCTGAGGTGGTAAGCCGTATGATGGTAGTTTGTGGAGGAGTCCTTCGTGCCAAACACGGTCGAATGCTTTCGATATGTCCAACGCGACAGCTAGAGATTCTCCGTGTTTTTCAATTGAAGATTGCCATAAATGGGTGACGTAGGCAAGTAGATCTCCAGTAGATCTTCGGTGGCGAAAGCCGTATTGTCTATCATTGATGATTCCTGAGCTCTCCAGATATTTGATAAGCTCAATATTGATGGCTTTCTCCATCACTTTGGAGATTACTGATAACAGGGCAATGGGCCTGTAGTTGTTGGGCAGGTTCTTGTTCCCTTTTTTGGGGATTGGTTGGACTCTAGCTGTCTTCCAGCATGATGGGAAAATACCCGACCTGTACGAGATGGTAAACAACTTGCAGAGAATCGGTGTTAATTCTGGTGCACATTTTTTGAGGATAATGGGTGGAATTCCATCAGGACCGTTAGCCTTATTCGTTTTGAGACCAAGCAAAATTCGTCTGATAGTGCGTTGATGGAAGACGATTTCGGGCATTCGACTCTCAACGGGTGGAATGTCTGGCGGCAGTTTTCCTTGGGAATCTAAAGTAGAGTTTGCTGCGAACATCTCTGCAAAAATATTCGCTTTCTCCTGCGATGTTGTTGCTAATGTGCCGTCGGATTTGGACAGTGGTGGAAATGAACTATTAGTGAAATTTCTTCCGACCGCTTTAGCAAGGGACCAAAACGAACGGGAGCCATTGGGGCAATCTATGAGTTTCGATCTTATCTTGGCATTGTATGTTTCTTTCGTAGCATCTATTGTTTGGCTGCAGTTATTCCTGGCATCAACGTATTCTGCTCTAGTCGCGTGGTTGGGGTTTTTGCGCCAGCGATGATAGGCTGTTTGTTTCAAGGCAACAGTTCTAGAACAGTTTTTGTTGAACCAGGGTTTCGAAGGTGATGATCTTTTCGAAAAATGAGGTATGTATGTGTACATTCCGAGCATGATGATCTCGGATATTTCCGCAGCACACTGTGAAGGGTCCTCAGAGTCAAAGCATACTCTATGCCAAGGAAACTCGGAGAAAAACATGCGGAGACCGTCCCAATCTCCTGAATTGTAATGCCATATAAGCCGTGGGGGTGCCGGAGCAGTTGATGGAATGAAAATGGACGAAATTGAAGTATTTTTATTGGCATTCAGAATCTAGTATCAGAAAATGCAATAAAAGCATCACGTATTTTATTTTCCTAATCGGTACATTTCTTCTGATGTTGGCAGAAGTCCATGGTAGTTCAAAGTGGAGTGATCGGGTTCATATCCAATGCGAAAAGCACAAACTCATCTCCACGACTTTTCAATTTGAAAACATCAGATGAGGAACAGATTAAGAAGTCCTACAATATAAAGAGATACATTTCAAACGTACCGTCATGGCCGCCATTTGGTGATACGTCTGTAGTGACATACGAATTATTATATGTTTCATGGTTTTACCCTGTATGGAAGATGTTTCCAAGGAGACCAGGAAATTGATATAAAACTGACATAGTTTCTGAATAAAATATTCGTTCAGTCAGAACCCTGTTTTAGTAGTTTGAATAAGCTACACGTCGAATAAATGGTGACGTCAGCTTTCATGCTGTTTCTTTATTGGTCAGATAATCTTCCATTCCCACTCATAAAGCAAAGTTGTCAAGCCACCAATTATATTCAAGTTATCAAAAAGATATTAGAATCTTGCTAAACATAATAGGAGGGAGCCATGATAGTATAGTTCATTCTTGACTTTTTCGAACAAGCAGCTCGTCCAAATATTTCGTATACTCCAAAACAAAATATGTGAATGTTTTGAGATAATAAATTTTTTTTGATAATTCGGAATAAGTATTTAACCAATACATAATTAATTAATCAATCGATCAATTTATGAATTATTGAATAGTTAATATATAATATGAGAGAACATATGGCAATTGTGCTATGGTCTGCCTCTTGTTTTCAGTGTACCAACAAAATTTCAGTGATAGATATATCAACAATATTGAAATAATGAAAATAGTTGTTAAACAATATATATTTCAACGCCCAATATCTCAATAACGAACCGTTTTAGAGCATTGTTTATGGGAAGTTATATTATTATTCCATCGAGTTCTATCTATTTTTCGAATTTCAAGACTTCATCTAATAACGTTGATTTTTAGATTTTTTTCGCAACGACGCGGTCTGCTGGCACTTTAGCCGCCGGAAAACGGTCTGCCAATCGTCAAACTATCTTTCAGACGTCACATACTATAAGTACTCTAATTTTCATGACTGTATTAATGATGTTGATTACGACACAAGTCCCAGACCGACTAGGCAAACTCGCGCCGTAGTGTTCCACATCATAAATGGAACCGTTCGAGAAGAAAATGGTGATTGTTTCGAGTTCTCAGTCTAATAGATCTATACCAAAAAATCAATATATTTTAAAAACTGACAAAAGATAACCTTAATAAAGAATATACAATGTGTCTCACTTCAAACGCCCCCCCCCCCTCCATATATTAGCAATTAATCGTGCAATTCTTGCCAAATTTGGAACAATATGAATAACCATCAATATGATCAGTTTTTCAGAGTGGACAGTGCCGTGCATTTTCATTAAAGTGATAAGGGTTGAATATTTTATTAAATCAAATTAGGATGTTTTACAGGAACACTAACTCCATAATAGTGTTCTTTATGATTCCAAACCCCCATATGCAATTTTACATATGATTACTATGAAGGATTCCTGAACAACAGGCAAATTCAAACAGCATTTTTCGGAAAGAAATAATTATTTACTCGGAAATGATGCGTTCAACAAAAAAAAAGTATATCTCGTTTTTGCTTCAAACCATAATTTTATACCTACCAGAGCATATATTGCACTTTCCATAATTCGAAGTAAATTTGAATTCCCTAATCCATCGAGGCAGGAAATGAAGAAAATTAAGATAATCCTATTAAATTGGAATGAGGTGACTTTTTGCATATAGGTTCTAAACTATAAGGAACAATAATATGAAGTTAGCTTTTCTGTGAAGAAATGCCTAATACGATTTCATAAAAAACGACCCCTTTTTATTTCAATAAAAACCTACGGCATTGTTCAAAATGATGTTGGTCTCTGAAAAACTGATCATATTGATGGTTATCCATACCGGTAAAAATTTTATAGGAACACACGACTAATATCAGAGATATAGAGGTGGGGAAGTGAGACACGCTGTATATTTGAAATCAGAAGAAAGCGCTCTATCGTTTAGGAAAATAAAATACAGTGTGTTCCATTTGAAAAATACCATTTTTGTAGAATATTTAGGTTTTCGATGATTGTTTGCATTTCCTAGTACTAGGCTCTGAATGCTCATAAAAAATACTTCATATTTGCCCATTAGAACGTTTTTGTAGAACCAATATTAACTGAGATAGCCATTGAGTGAAATAAATAGATAGATATTAATTCATGTTTTTACACTTTTTTGTTTACATTCGTCAATGAGTTTATAAAACATAGAATACATATATTGGTCAAAGGGGCTTGATACAGACCTATTATAAAGAAATTATTAATTAAAAATGTAAATTACAATCACAACTATATATATGTATGAAAACAATTTCCAGTCAAAACATTCCTGTTTTCCTGAATTTATTCAAAACATTCTATTGTGTTTGAGTTCCAATGGTTAAAAGTTGAAGTATTTGTAGGATTTATATAAATAAGATGACTGCATCACAGTCTAAATCTTGGCAATCTCAGCAAAGATCAAGATCCAAGATCTTGTGAAATGATAATGAGTATCTCCAAGTTCAACAGTTGTTCCTTCTATTGTCAGTTTTTTGATATGACATTTCCTATTCACTGAAAAGTCGATTCTTTTAGTTTTTGACTGATTCAAAGTGAGATAATTACTCTGAGTCCATTCTTTTATGAAATTTTGAGAATTGGTAATACTAATTGGTATATTTATTAGTGAATAAGAATATAAACAATCACCCTGTACATTCACATTTTCTTATGATGTTAAAATACCGGTAAATCAAGTTGTTTTAGGAACGCTGATGGTTTGGTTACAATGGATATAAAACACTATAATATGATGGTTTCAAGGTTTCACCTGTGTTATAGGGTGACATCACAATAAATACAAAATCTCAAACCCTGAGAAAGCTGGACGTATACTATCAAGAGTCACCAACTAAACAACTATAGGGATCAAAATGAAATTTGGCGTCACCTTTGTTCAAATTTGCGAGTGGAAGGCACAATCAGGCGGAGTTCAATCATTTAAATTGTTTCAAAGTGACATGTACTTTTTCTATCATTTCTTGTTCAATTTTTGGAATGAAGAAGAAATAGAAAAAATCTGGTAGTTTGGGAATATTCCTTAGACTGTATCATATTGATTTGCTGATTAAATGTACAAATTTTAAAAACACATTATACAGAGGATGTAATAATCATTTACAATCTCACATTCTCAAAAAGAGCTAGATGTTCCTCAAACATATCTTTTAGTTTACCCTATATAACTCCTATCATAATCATCACTACCTCTTTTTCTTTTCTAGTGTGCCAACTTTTGAAATATATTTTTGTATAATGATGAACCATGGATCAGTGGAGAAGGTGACGTAAGGCAGTGGTGATTTGCTGCCATTTGGTCTTGTAAAATTTTACTAATTGGCAGTTTTTTTGAATTTGTAAGATAATTTTTCTCTGTTACAAAAAATGTAGTATTTTAGGTTGATATCAAATGAAAATATCCTGTTATCAGAAATGCATTTCAGTTGTTAATACTTTTTCACCAATATGACAAATTTCAAAGAAACATAGTTTTGATATTTGAGCCAACTTCACTGAGAAGCAGTTTTGAATATCCAAAAGAAATACTCACATGTTCCTCTTCTGAATTGAAAGGATCTAAACTGACACTGTTCTCAGAAGAAGTGGTACATTTCTGCAGAGCTATTCCAGCAGTAGGAGGTGCAACATTAATCAATCCCACATCTGGAACCCCACCACTCCTGGACCATAACGCTTTTATCAGAGCTGATGCCAAATATAATGTCTAAAACAAAAGTCCATAAATTTAATATATACGGTTGAGTGAAAAATTGAAAAATTTAAGGTAAACACCCAAGAACAAATTGTTGTGATTGGTTGAGACAATATTACACTTGTCTAAAATGACAACTTTTGATAACAAAAATGAAGCCCACTTCTGAAATGAGCGAGTCCTATAATTTCAGGAATATTTCAGTCAGAGCTTTCCACCAATCTGGTGATACTCCCAACTTTCAGAAAAATTTGTCATCATTGAACTCCAAAAATATATTTTTTTTAATTTCAGAATCACATGCAGATTAGCCAATTTTCAAGTACTGGGAATGATTTATGTAGGATACGACTCTGTATTATCCATATCAGTTTATCTTTTATTTTGAATGAGTGATGTTGCTATAGTAAGATGTAAATATATTTAATAAAAAATAATAAATCTTCGAGTTGAGGAATATAATTTATATTGAAGATTCATCGAAGTATTTGATGATATCTATTATAATTTATACATGGTGACATTTTTAAAACTTTCCCGCTCAATATCTTCCTTCCAGTGAATAATACCAAGAATAAAAAAAAACAAGTGAATTTAATTTTCAAGGGGAGACACTTTAAATCATTATTTTGGGCCTTCTTGGGTCAACCTCCTAGGAGAAGGGTGGATGTTACCCTTAGAATCCCAAAAATTCCAAATGGGATGGGGGGGGGGGGTCAAGTCCAAGAGGCATATCATTTTGAAGAGCGTTCAATTCTCTTTACAAGAGTACCCTAATTCATCATTTTCTGTCGAACAGTTTCCGGAAACTGCTGTGTTACTTAAAGAACTTCCCACCCTTAATAAAAAAGAGGCGTCAATTCCAGTTCTAAAGAAGACCTTTAAAATGCATATTGTTAGCCCTCTTAGTTTAACACCCTAGGAGGAGTAGATATTACCCTTACAACCTCATATGAAAAGGGGGGGTCAAGATGCACATTATTTTGAAGGGCGTTAAGTATCTTTTCATCAATACCGTAGTTTCTCATTTTTTTGTAAGCAAATTTCGAAAAATGCCGTTCTAAACTTACAGAAAAATTAGAACATGTCTGCACTAAGATGCATGGTTTTCAGGTTAGTATTATTGTTATTGGAAGCTATATACAGATGGTGTTGTGCCAACTATTTGAAGATCAACGTTGAAAAGACCAAATGTATGGTAATAAGTACAGAAAGAAACTATAGAAATATTAGTGAAGAAATGTATGAGGTAATAATTGGTAAAGACAACATGGAACAGGTAGATATATTGATAGAAGTCTTTATTGAACCACGGAAAATTACATTTTCATAGAGGTCCTTACTCTAAAAAAACATGTCATTCAAGTACTTGGAGGTAAATGTAGAGAGGAGATTACAGTTACAATACAATACTAACTGTATTATTAAAACAATATCATTTAAAATACATTATTTAGCCCGATGTGCTCCATACTTAATGGGATGGACAAAATTATTGCTGTATAATACAATAGTCCTACCGCATTTCACCTATTGCCCCACAATCCTGTATATACTGAACCAAAATGAACTAGCATGGGTGCAGAAACTCCAAAACAGAACCATGTGCCTTATTTTGAATTGTGGAAGACTAACACCTATAAGTGGTATGTTGAAGCAACTGGAATGGCTGCCAATAAAATCTTTCCTTCTTTACCAAACCTCGATTCTAATCTTCAAAATTGCGCCAACAGAACTGCTTTCCACATTCAACAAGTTGGATCAACGCAAACCCAAAATTCTATTTTTTTTAAAGGGCTTGACAGTTTCAACAATCTCCCACAAGACATTAAAAGCGTAACATCTCTAGCTCTCTTTCAAAGGGAATCAAAATCATACCTCTACAATCAATAAAAAACTCAGTAGCCACTATCTGACCATGTTTTTTATAATTTTAATTTCAATATGTATATATGTGACAATTGTACTTATTCAACTATCAAGTGTATTATTATAGACATTATCCAATAACTGTGGTAACCTCAACATGTAAAATGTTAATTAGTCTATGACTACAATAAAGGATTTATATATATATATATTGATTCTTCTTTCAGTCCGATTGGTACGAAGATTTTTATCTTCTTTCAGTCCGAATGGTAAGAAGATTTTTAATGCATCTCAGTGCAGGCATGTTCTAATTACTTCTGTAAGTTAAGAACGGCATTTTTTGGAAACTGCTTCTTATCAAAAAATGATAAACTAAGGTACTGTTGGAAAGAGAATTGAAGGCCCTTTAAAATAATGTGCATCTTGGCCCCTTTTCATATAAGGTTCTAAGGGTTACATCTACCCCTCCTAGGGTATTGAACCAAGGGGGTTAATAATATGCATTTGAAGTGTCCCCCTTGAGAATGAAATTGACCTATGTTTCAGATTTTTCATATTATTTACTGGAAGGAAGATATTAAGGGTGGCAAGTTTTTTAATTGACATGGCATTTTTCGCAAAACTGCTCAACAAAAAATGATTAACTAGGGTACCGTTGGAAAGATGATTAAGTGCCCTTCAAAAAGATGTGCCACTTAACCCCCCTTCCCATCTGAGATTCTAAGAGTACATCTACCCCTTCTAGGGAGTTGAACGAAGAGGGCTAAAAATATTAATTTCAAGTGTTTCCCATGGAAATAAAATTGACCTGTCTTCTCGATTTTTCATATTATTTATTGGATGGAAGTTATTGAGGGCGAGAAGTTTTCAAAATGTCACACTGTATTGATCATGCATTAGCATTTGTAACGGATTTTTCTGAAATTTGGTACAGTAACATGAGCAACCATTTCAATTTTATCACATTACATTCCAATACGACGGGCTTCCGGTTTTTCTGGAAATGCCAGTGACTTTGTTTTTTGACATGTGTGTCACCTGGTATATACAACCATGTCTGATTTCCACTCAAAACTTAATATTGATTAATATTGGAAAAATTAGGCTATTATGTGAATTCATGCAATCAAATAGAGTTAGTTCTATCAGAGATATTATTTCAAAAGATAGTAAATTAATGGCAATTAATGAGAAGAGAATTACCTGTTCAGAATGGTCTTTTGGTTCCAATTTAGTAAGAAGACTGTACAAATGCAGTGTTGGAGCAGCAGCTAAATGTTTAACAAGTCCAGGTAAAAGATCATGCACTGGTTTTGAGCAATGTTTCAGTTGTGCTGCAGCCCAAATAACGTCCATGTGTTCACAAGTAATTCTACCTTCCATGGCAAGAAAATTTAGGATAATGTGACTTTGTTTAATAACCTAAAGGACAAAAAATGTTAGATTAACTTCAACACATTAACTTTATCAACTTTCTGAGATAATTTCCATTAAACATCCAAATTTTTTTTCTCAAATAGCTTTTCTGAAATTGTTCAATATAAATTGAATTATACAGGATGATTCAGGTTTTGAGGAACAAACTGAAATGGGTGATCTTATCATTTTGATGAAATAAAAAGATTGCATAAACATGAGCCCGATCTCGATCAGTAGCGAAGCTGCAGGGGGTGAAAGTTTAATTATTTTTTTCTATTGAGTGAATTATCTCCTTTAGTTTCAGAGACATCTATCTGAAATTTGGTGTGGTGAATACTGACTAGAAGACCATCCTTTGATTTTTAATTTTTGTCTATATCTACAGGGCTATACGTTTTTGGGGGTAGATGCTTCTTTATCCTCCCATTGTACGCCACTGACATCTTCTAAATTGGGTGGATCATATTCAATTCAGAGAGAAAAATGAAACATTTTTGAGATAAATAGGCATATATGTTCTGAAATATGCTAATTTTATGTTGAAAATGCAATGAAATGTACTGAAATTGTAATGTTTGTCTAAGCATATTGGGCCAATGCTTAAAAAACATTGCAATTTTGAGTACATTTTATTGCATTTTCAAAGATTTTTGTACAAGGATATAATTTATGAAAAACATAGGCAAAGTTAAAATTTTTTTAAAGGGTTATCCTTTTTCTCAAAAAAGTCCCTATTGAATGAACTACCCAATGTAGTTACTGGAAGATGTCAAAGGTGTACTATGAAAAAGTTTGAGAGGGACAAAGAAGCTTCTACCCATAAAAACATATAACACTGTAGATATTGAAAATCCCTAAAATGCTTTTAACAATGATTTTCTAGGAAGTATCAATCATACCAAATTTCAAATTGATATTTCCATAGGTGAATGAGATATTTCAATTAATACAATAAATAATTGATCTTTCACCTCCCTGTAGCTCTGCTTCTCATGGAGATCTGACTCATGTTCATATGAACTTTCTTGATTAAAATGATGAGATCTATCACCCATTTCAATTTGTATCTTGAAACCTGAATCACCCTGTATAATAGTTCGGCGGCGTAGGAGCTAGTTTTATCTAGATATTCAATCTAATATTTGAAACAGAAATCAGTTCCCTAACTGTTCTTGTACCTTGTATTGTACAAAAGTAAAAGTGTGTTGTTATGGATTTTAATAAAATGTTTATTGTTGGACAGAATAATTGAAATTTAATAATAATAACATTTATTGATCCCAAGAAACATACAATGTTTATAGAGGGAAAAAACAAAAAAAAATTAAATAAAATCAAATATGCAGATCAGATCAGATCAGATCAGAAGAACAGTTCAATCAGAATTAATTGATACAAGGGGAGAGTTAAATTGATAAAATATATTTCTTCAGTTCACACTTAAATTTTGTGACGAATCTAATAGATTTTATTCTGTTGGGTAGACTATTATAAATATTTATTCCAGAAAAAAATAATGATTTTTTCCCGAATTGGGTTTTTATTTTAACAGTTTTCAAATCTTCACTGTCTGGTGTGATGCTCATGGGTATCAGAATTGATATTGAAAGTAAGATTCAAGTGCTTTTTCTTATTTTTAGTGAAATGAATGAAAATACATATTTTCATTTTGAAGAGAGTCAATATCTAGTAGATCTCTTGGTTTGTATAGTCTAGATATTGATTCCAGAAATGTTAGTTTATAAATACATTTTATGGCTTTATTTTGAAGAGATTTCAGAGGTTTCAAAACAGATTTTGCTGCAGTACCCCAGATCAATATCAGATACTGCAATTTAGAGTAAATCAAACTGAAATAAATTAGTTTTAAGTATTTAAGAGGTATAAAAGACCTCAATTTGTATAATATACCAATAATGGGAGATATTTTTTTCCTGAGCAATTGAATATGCCATGACCAAGATAGAGTCTGGTCTATAGTTAAACCTAAGAGTTTGGAGTTTTTTGTAGGATTTACATAAAAATTCCCGAATTTTAACGGATCTATTTGGCTATCAGGTATAACTCTTTTCAAGATGAACATAAAAGAAGATTTATCGAAAATGAGTGTCAATTTATGATCTTGTAACCATAATGTTATTGAAGCGAGATCTTGTTCCATTTGGTTTTTTATTTCTTGTATATTTTTTCCATAATAAATGAGAGTTGTGTCATCGGCAAATAATTTCAAATTCCCTTGTAATTTCAATCTTGAGATAGAATTTATATAAATTAGAAATAAAATAGGTCCGAGAATTGATCCCTGGGGTACACCACAAGATATGTTTCTTATTGAAGAAAATGAATCTCCTATACAGGGCTTTTCACGATGAGCGTTAATTAGACGTTTCTGGCAAACCAGACAACGGATCATTTTGAAAATTCAATAGAGGGCATATTCGGACATTCTCTAGCCAACTAAAATATTTTCGACAATGTGGTGTTGCCGCTTCTATTAGAAAGCAGTAGCAACTTTGATTTTTCAAATAGAACACTCTGTATTTTATTGCATTTTTAGATCCTCCCTGAAGAGCTGATTTCATCGAAGTATCACACTTGGGGTCTAGCGGAAATGATTACAGAGATATAGGGTGTGAAAAATCGACATTTTTCAACTTTAGGATTTTTTTGTGTGGAAACTATTCATCATTGGTCAAAACGGCTCACATGTCCCTATCTCAACTTTTGATTAACTATCTACTGATATTTAATTGGGACATATACCGGGTGATCAAGATTCTGAATTCTGCACCACCCTGTATTTGTTTCAATTAAATGTTAGTAGATAGTTGATCAAAAGTTGAGATAGGGACATGTGAGCCGTTTTGACCAATAATGAATAGTTTCGACTTAAAAAATTCCTAAAGTTGAAAAATGTCGATTTTTCACACCCTATATCTCTGTAATCATTTCCGCTAGACCCCAAGTGTGATACATCGATGAAATCAGCTCGTCAGGGAGGATCTAAAAATGCAATAAAATACAGAGTGTTCTATTTGAAAAATCAAAGTTGCTACTGCTTTCTAATAGAAGCGGCAACACCACATTGTCGAAAATATTTTAGTTGGCTAGAGAATGTCCGAATATGCCCTCTATTGAATTTTCAAAATGATCCGTTATCTGGTTTGCCAGAAACGTCTAATTAACGCTCATCGTGAAAAGCCCTGTATACACAAACTGCTTTCTATCAACTAGATAATTTTCAAACCAAGAGTAAACTTTACCTCTTATTCCTATTTGAGTTAATTTCATTAATAGAATTTCAAAATTGACTGTATCAAATGCCATTTGCAAATCCAGTGATAAAGAGTCCACATCTGTAGTCTGAATCTAATTTCAGCTGAATGTCAGTAATAACATCCAGTGTTGCAAACGGTTGCAAATTCAGTGTCACAGAATTTCCGAAAGCCATACTGACCATCAAAGAGAAATTAAATTTTTATTAAATAATCAGATAATCTTCTATGCATAACTCTTTCAATAATTTTGGATAATGTTGGTAGCAAAGAAATGGGCCTATAATTATTCATTGAATATTTTTTTCCACTTTTCCACACTTTTGCAATTTTACAATTTTTGGGGATGGAACCTGTTTGGAATGTTATATTTTTCAATTTAGTCAAGATGATCTCAAGTGTTTTTACCTCCACATGTAAATTAGGTCCAAAAATATGAGATATTATATTGTTGTTTATTAACCAATCTGCCATATGTCTAGGAGCTGCTTCTGCTTCTGGTAGAGATTCACCTACACAAATCTCAGCCAAAACCCCAATCTGATTATTGATTTGTGTTATACCAGCAAGGCGCATTGTTAGGGTACTAGATGTGAAATATTTGAATGCCAGATCTAACCCATCTGCATCAAAAGCTACTGGAGAATCCAAGGGGTCTTTTATGGCATTCCACATGAAATCTGAAAATTTGTGGGAATCAATATTAAGCATTTCATAATCATAACTACAACACTAGTACAATTTTATTGGTAGCTGTCACTAAGAACTAGGTTTTTATATCTGGTACACATAAGTAGAAGTAGTTTATTTGAAATAGGATGTCCTAATATACAACAACAAAATTATACAAAAAAATTACATACTAGTTCACAATAATTAAAAAACATATCATAATAATATAATATCTGGCATAATATATAAAAATATAAAAATCACAAATATTAAAAGGTAAAAATAGTTAAAAATTATTTTTTTAAAATATGGGTACCTATATATAGTACAATTCATTGTAAAGATAATACTTTATGGCATAAATTGACTGGGCACCAGGGAAAATATTGAGAGATCAATTATTTCTTTTTAATAAGTTGGTTTAAATCCATTTTGAAAATATTCAGTGACTCACTATTTTTCAGTGACATAGGCAATTTGTTGTATTCATTGAAACCTTTAAAAATAATGACTTCATGGTATTAGAATTATTTGTTCTTGTAATATGCAGATTATTCTTATTCCTCATAAGGTAATTGTGAACTTCTGCATTGAAAACTATGCAATTCTAGAAATATGGAGGAGCCAGATTGTTCAAAATTTTGTAGATAAAAACCATACTAAGATAATATAATCTTTGGGAAACTGTGAGCCATTGAAGTGTATCCAGCATAACATCAATTGGGGTATAATGGTTTCACTTCATTATGATATGCATTCCACAATTTTGGAGCTTTTGAAGGTGGGATAGTTTGTTGAGGTTAAATGTATATAAAATTGTTGCACAGTAGTCAAAATGCGGTTGAATAATGGTCTTATAGACAGTGATTTTGGTTTCCATTGATATATTGTTTGCAATTCTTGAAAAGAAATATAGTTCTTTAGATATTTTATTCTTTATGTATTCAAAATGATCTTCAAATGATAAGGTATTATCTAGCTGGAAGCCCAAATACTTTACTGTTTTGATTATTTCAATTCTTTCATTGCTCATCATCATATTTATATCATCAAAGTTTAAATACTTGTGTTTATATTTAGTTGATAATATCATAGCTTTAGTTTTAGACATGTTCAATTTGAGTTTGTTGATTTTCAGATATTCCTGAACAGCTGATAATATGGAGTTCATTTTATCAATTGCTCTGTTTATATTGGAGTCACTGCAGGCTAGTAAGGTGTCATCAGCCAACAAGTTTATGAATTCACAATCTGTATAAAGATCAATATCATTCAGATGGAGCATCATCCAATTCAATCACTACTGCAAATCTGAAAATTTTACAGACCCTGGTGTTCTAACTAAAGTGGAATTTATAAAAATCAAGAACTCTGTTTTATTACTCTCAGTTCTTTGTTCTCAATAATTTCAAATTATATAAAAGTGGGACCTGATAAAGTTATAAATAATAACCATTTAATTTTCAAATATTTAGAAATAAACACTGAAACCATGAAATCTTTAATAATCCATAGCTTCACCACCTCAACTATAAAGAGTTATCATACCTGCCATGCTTTTGATTGTGGGAGTGCGCAGATCTTGGTCTGAGAGTTTGCACATATAACGTAATACACATGATCTTAAGGGTACAAGCATTGATACCATGCTCTTGTAATTCATCCACAGCTTCAAATTACACACTGAAATAATAATTGCTATTGAACTGTATGAATCACAGATTTCAGATTCTTACCAATGGATATCATGGCATGTGCAGTGGAAACAGGAAGCATCTCTGGAGAAAGTTGGGTGAAACAAGTTGTCATAGCTAAAAGTCCTCCCATTTTGCAAAACCAGCTAACATTTTTCAGGAGATAAATTGGGATTTCTGAATCATGTAAATCACAGAATAAATTGAGATTTTGCATTTCCTGTTGAGTCAACTCATCTAGTTTTGCCTGAATAGTGTGCTTGTAGGCTACATATAAAGGGAAATTCAGGAGAAATATTTTAGAAACTAATATCAACAGTTTATCCCTTTCAATTACTTCTGGATTTTCTTTTTCTTCCTCACATGGCTTGCTTTTGGTCTGTTGATTTGCATTACTGTCAATTGTTGTCTCAACTTCTGCACTTTTATCTGCTAGAATTTTCAACTGACTAGTTGCCATATAAATGAGACCCTGAGTAACATAACTGAAACGTTCCAAATTTTTTGGGTCTCGGTAACAGCACATGCATTGCCTTAAAAAAAAAGTTGTATTAACACCAAATCTTTGAGGCATATTCAATTTTGACACCTACCTAGTTGGCCAGGTTTGAACATACACAAATACAGCATCCACATCTCTATTGGTTAGTATAGGTTGTTCATTAGTTTCTCTGCAGAACTGGGATTCATCTAAAATCATTAATGCTTGATTTAATTACAAACCATCTATACCTTCTTGAACATGATTGAAATATCATATTATTATTTGTCCCATTCAAAATAAAAATATAGTAAAAACCCTAAACTTACAGGAAACAAGAAGTTGTAGAAAATCTGAACATGCATCACACATGTTAAACGAATTTCTTGGGGAATATCGCTTTCTCGCCCCAGTTTAACTCATAACAGAAGATCTTTGAATCCGGAACTTTTATATTTACTTCAATATTAATCACAAAGGGGATTAAATACCAAAAAATTATCTACCATTTTGTGACGTTGGACGTTGTTTAAGTCAAGCATGGAACATGAATTTTTATATTTCACATTGACACAATGTCACAATGACACAAATGACACAATGACAATGATACAATGACAATGACACAATGAAAATGACACATGACACATGTGACCACAGACAGAAATGTAAAACCTTAGATCATGAACCACTTATGAAGAACCACTGTTATGAAATGACCAAAAAGCGTAGAATACACCCAATGAACTCAATATGAGTTCATTGAATGCACCAATGTCCTCTACAGTCTACTATAATTCATCATTCGTGTCAGTGGCTACAGATCAGAGGCATCGAACATCAACTTGTCTGAAAATTGATGGTCGATGCTTACCAGTTAGGAAGATTACAGGAAAGATTATAGTTGATACAAAGTCCAATAGATGCTCTAGTATCGCCATGTTTCTTCAATAAAACTTAAATAAAACAAAATAAAATAAATGAATACCATGAATACCTATTAGAAAACTGAAGTAAAGGCTTTGCGTATTCACAACCAAGGGTAATGGGTAGACCGATGATTATACAGAGTGTTTCTACATTCGACCGACAACGCTCTCATAGATCTAAAGTGTAAGATCTATAACTCCCAAAAGGTCATTTAATAATTATCGAGATAGGGACATAAGTATGTGGTCCTCAAATTTTCAGTTCTCGAAATTCGGAGCTAGTGTTGAAGTTGAGAGATAAAAATAGTTTCTTCGCAATAACTCAAGAATCATTGAATATTTTGCATTCGAATTCTTTATATATGGTTTCATCTTTGAATGGGTAATTTTTGACCAGAAGTTGATTCCGGACATTGTTTCCAGTGGTGCGCTACAGGGGGCTGTGGTTACTTCTCTTTCTATATTTTTCTACGCCACTGATGAAATTTCGATTATTCTCAATCTCTCAAATTCATTGTTCAACTTCGTTCAAAGAATGCATCATCACCTTCAACTGAGCTGAAATAAACAGTTTTCGAGATATTCGACCCAGAATAGAAGTTTGCATATTTTTCAGTAGTTAAAAATTACAGAATCGTTTGATTTTTCTTCACCACCAGAAAAATATTTCTGTTATTTTTTATACTACTGAAAATTGATGAAATATTTCTATGCGAACTTCTATTTTGGGTTGATTATCTCGAAAGCTGTTCATTTCAGCTCAGTTGAAGCAGGTGATATACATATTCTGAATAAAATTGAACAATGATTTTGAGAAATTGAAAATTATCGAAATTTCATCATAGTTCCGTAAAAAATTGCGGAGGAGAAGTAACCGCAACCGCCTCTGTATATCTCACCACTGGATAAAATTAATCATTCTTGAGTGTTATTGCGAAAAATCTATTTTTATTTCTCAACTTCAACAAGCTGTATATCGAGGAATGAACACTTAAAGACCTATGTCCCTATCTCAGTAATGAAATCACGACGGCTATCACCTGTCAAGCGTTATCGGTCGAATTTCCAAACACCCTGTAAACTATAAATTGAACTTCGCCTAGCAAACATCGAATATCTGGCCGAGCCAATCTCCAGTATCTAGTTCGAAATTGATTACAAAAGAGTTATTAATATCTACTAACATTTTTTAATGTTCTGGTTCCCACGAAAAGGGATATACATATACAATCATATTAAATTCCCATGAATGCACTATACCAATGAAAACATTTGCCGAAAAATGTTCACTTGACTAAGTTGCCATGTTCTGAACCGTTGTTATTTACATCCGAATCCACAGAGACACATTTTTTTGTAGTGGTTGAACTTCCCAGCACATCATATTGGCTAAAACCTAATTTTATATTGGGCCGATATAGATATATCGTACATGTGACCAATATTTTTGGTCCAATATAAGAGTATATTGGATATACACTATTGGAATGATAATATTGGTGGAATATTGGTTAAACCTGAGGTAAATATGGATTGTCAGATACAATATTGAAGCAATATTGGTTGTATAAAAGTGTTTAACAATATGAGGAAAAACATTTCTATGAAATTTATATAATATTGTTTCACAAATGTCAATACAACAACATATATACAATGACATATTGTTTCCAACAATTATAACACGGAAAAAATGGATTTGTTGCATCAACAAATTATTTATGCTATAGTATGTTTGTTGGACTGAGCATTTTTTTGTTGAATCAAACAGATATAGATGATTACTTCATGGAAGCAGCTTGTTCAAATCAAAAGAATATATTTTATTGAATCAACAGTATAATATCAATTATTATTCAAATACAAATTATGTCGATTCAAAGTAGTGCCGATGTCCATTCAACTATATACATTTTATATTTACTTCATGAAAGCAGCTTGTTCAAATCAAGAACGTATTTAATTGAATCAACAGTATAATATCAATTATTCAAAAACAAATTATGTCGATTCAAAGTAGTGCCGATGTCCATTTAACTATATACATTTTGTTACTTTGATGAAATAATAATAATATTGATAAGACTATATCTTCGAAACAACATACAAGTTTCCTCATTCCGATTTAGCAATGAACTCATTTCGAACGGATCATTTGCTTGAGTATAATACCGAAATATGTAATATCAATGAAATATTTCGTTTATTCAACATCAAGTTGAATTTTCGCCACTAGATGGTGACCTTTTCGCATCGTCGATGCCTGCCTCTAATTCATTATATACGTGAAGCCTGATTCTTGGTGTTTGAAATATCAGCTGAATAAACTGAACTTACGTTGTCTAGCAAGCCAAAATAACCTTGCATTAGCTGAAGAGAAGTATTAAGATTGGAGATATATGCAAGAAGTAAGTCGACTAGTTTCCTATAGTTTAGGTTATTTTTTGATGAGAAATTTCAGAAAACTCCCAACTCAATACTGAAAAATAGTTTGTCGAATGAAATCAGTTTCTTTTGAATCAACGAATATTTCATTGAATTAACAAAATAGAATAAGAATAAGATTCAGAGTTCATGTAAGACATATTCACTAGATTCAAACTTCAAATTCGCTTTGAAACAAGATATAGATTAACTCATTTATAGATTATATTTTGTCGTGCATATGTATTTTTTATGGTGTTTTATGGAAGAAGGCAGGGCCAATCCATCCAAAACTTAGGACACATCGGCATCTAATATGACACTCATTTGCTTCATTATTCAATTAAATTCGCAATTTGAACACTCCCCCATGTAGATTCTGAAGCGGTTATGCAATATTGTATATTCGAGTTCGACGGTATATTGGTTGAATATTAATTGTTTCAACAATATGGGAAACATAATATTTACCTATATTGATTGATATGATTTTCACTATATCATGCGGAAGATATCGTACACCTACATATTGTTTCCAACAATCATAACCAATATTACATAACATTCTCCCCATGTCGATTCTGAAGCGGTCATACAATATTCTATATCGAGTTGGTTGAATATTGTTTCAACAATATTTGGGACATTATTTACCTATATTGATCGATATTATTTCAACTTATCATGCGGAAAATATCGTAAACATATTGTTTTATCGCAATTTGAACATAATATATAGATTGATATCGTGTTTACTACATCTTGCGGAAGACCATGGAATGTATATTGTTTCAAAGATAAATAACAATATTGGCAATTCAGTATTTCTCTTTATATCAGTCATAAAGAAAACAAAATTGTATTTCGAAGTTCAATTGCATATCGGTTGAATAACCTCCAGCCATATTCAGAATGTGATTTCATCTTTCAAAGGCTAATATCTGACTCACTACACCATGTGAGCAATATTGTTTATGTATTGTTTTGAAGATACATATCGATATCGACATTTCAATATTCATATCATTTCACTCTCAAACTGATGTCGATAGATGGCGCTATAAATGATTGGTAACTTACTTCCATTGCCGGTCAGCCTAGAGAATATAAATATTGGCACTAGAAAAATTTGAGAGCATTCTATCCTGGAATAGGGGTTAAACGTGACAAACAAGGCTGCTTGTCCAGGACGAGGCCCTCCCATTGTACTTCGGCTGGGCTGACCTTTACGATTATTCCTACTGCGAAAAGTGCGAATAGCTCGCAAATATTGGTATGAAAATATTCTACCAATATTTTGAAGATCATTGTGACCAATATAACGTCACGAACCGATATTGGTATGAAAATATTTTACCAATATAAAACAACCACTTTTGGACGCTGATATTTGTACAGGGTCTACAAGGTTTATCATTGAAGATAGAGAAAAACTTTGACTTCAGAAGTTGTAGGGTTTGTTCTGAACCTCCAGAAAATTATACCAGATGAAACAAAATATGAATATCGCTGATATAAGAAATGGGTACCAACTTCGTTATTTTCAATAGAACACCCTATATATTTTTCTAAAAAATGTAAGATCTTTTTTTCCTGATTCCAAAAATATATTAGTCATTGATATTTGGTTCAGCCGTGTTCGAGATATTCGAGGTTGAACATTTTAGATTTAGTTTTAATTTGATTCCACCAAATCGCAATTGCCATGAGGAAAAACAACACATACGCAAGTTGTCATCGATAAAACGTTCTGTCATATGTTCATTGCATAGAATTTCGGAAGAAATATGGGTTTCAGTGAAGATGAAAAGTTTGAAATGATTCGTTTTTTCTGTGACGGGAAAAAAGTTTGGCATTTCATCTCTGTTGACAGGTTATAAAATGTCACTTTTCATAAATTACTTTTTTCCCGTGGGAAAAAAGTGAGTACTTTTTTCCCGGATATATATCACATATATATACTTACTCTGTTAATGGCTTTTGTTGTGCTATAGTTCCGAAAAATGAGTCAATAATACCGTCTCCGAGAAAGAACTGCAAGTCCTTTTATCTTCCATTCGACTTCGCGGTTTCGTATATTACTAAACAACTACTGAATTCGCAATTTTTTAAAATCAAATCACAGAATTGAACTGACAGAAGTGACATCAGATATTTGATTACTTCAAAAGAATGATAAAGATGCCTATAA